TCGCAGCGAACGGACGATGCCACACGTGTTGATGCCAGGGGCTAAAAATGCCACGGGCTAAAGATGCCAGGTGGCGGGGGAGAGGACGGGCATATACATGACGCAGGAACGCTCGAGTAGAAGGTGCCGTGCACGTTCTCCACACCACCTGCCCTCCCCCCGCACGACCTCAAGACATCGGCATGTACCAATTCGCCATGTCCAGCAACACCAAAACGTACCACAGGAACGCTCGAGTTGAAGATGCCGTGCACGTAATTCAGATTGGTGGAAATGCGTTGACTTGATGGCACTGTAATGCATTGTGATGGAATGTTGTAGTATGTGATCGTGTGGTCGTTGTGTGAGTTCAGAAAGGCTGAAATGAAAAATGCCACAAACGTTAGGATGACGGAAGCATTGAAGCCGTCGCGATGATGACTTAAAGTGCACTAGAATCTGTATGTGTGGAGGTCATGCATCGTCGTCGACGACATCGCCTCCCATCGGCATTAAGGCTTGGCAAACCTATAGGTTGATAAATGCATTGTCGAAGTCTCGAGCAGGCGTACTCGCATCATGCTGGGAACGTGGAGCGCATGAAAAGGCAGCGACATCAAATCGAGTGCCGTCATGACTCGTTCCAATGCGTCTGCGCTTAAATGGGGCATCTTCGGGTACCTTTGACTGCACAGCGCATCAGGTGAATGAGGGGCAAACAAAATCCAACCTGAAATGCGTGAGTAAGATATGCTTGGCGTTGGCGCGGATACCAACGTCTATCGCTTCTTCAGTCGTTGAGTGGTCTTTCTTCTTTGCTTCACCCATCATGCCATCTACAAGCACCTTGAGTCGCAACGGAGCGTACCAAATTGTAACCAGTGCACCTTCGAACGTTGCCTCGTGGATAAGCACGTCAGCGTCCTTTGCGTGTTCGACGAGGAGTTGGCTGGGGCGGCAATCCCCTGAAAACGCAACCTTGTACCTGAACAGAAACGACTCCACCACATGAAAGAGAATGGCTTGGAATGGCGGGTGGACGAACCCATTCAAGCATGTGAACACTACAGCAAACGACTGGAAGCAGTGCTTGACCGGGATACAATCAAACCTAGTCAACAGCGTCATGTTAGATGGTGAACAAAAACCGTGCACTGGGCACACTGGACGATATCGTAATGCGTAGCCAAGATGCCCCGGATGGTTGCCATGTGAATGCCAAATGGATCGACTACACACACAACGACGTGACAAGGTTTGAGCTCCAAACGCATGAGACATCAGGCAAGCGGGTCGTACGGTCCTTGGGCGAGTGCTGGTTTCGGATGTCGAATGCCGTGTTGTTTTCAAAAATGTACTTGCCAACAATCGAAGCGTCGATTTTGCTGTAATCCTCCAGCCAGTAGAACACAGCAGTCGGGCCAATGATGGCCAGAGGAGGCAGCTACATCGGACAAAATGAAGACAATAGCAGCGTTCCCATCCAACCCGTACCGCCAGACTTCTCTCCGACAGGAGCCGGACGAGACCCAAGTGGTGGTCCGCATGGTTGTGCGAAATCCAAACCACGTGCAAATTCTCCAACAAGTGCGTCAACTTGGCCTTGTCCCCACCCACAGAACGAAAGAGCTGCCCAAAGCAACCCTCCCCCGAGTCCAATAAAAGGAAACTCGACCCGATTGCAATCAAGTTGGACGTAACGTTGCGGTACTTGGACGGTATCGCCGATCCCGTGCCCAGAAAAGTCACATGCCCTTGTCCAAGTTCTACATCACCAACGACTCCAAGTTCAGGTTGTGAAAAGGTTGCCGTCAACGAGAGCAACCAGAGTTGGGAGAAGGAACAGCCCTTCCGTTCAAATCAATCTTTGCCTCCGCCAACATTTGTTGCGCGTCGAGTTGGATCGCATGCAAGTTCAACGGCTGCATCACGCCGGATCGATCGATGCCTTGCTTGGCTGCAGGGGTAAGCGTGTACTTCAGCAGAGGTTGCTAACGAGTTGAGCAAAAATACATGAGCTGGTCGTCGCAGCTCGTATCAGAGAGTGCATACGCCAACGATGGCCTCGCCGAAGTCGAGGGAAATGCTCTCCATGGGGGCAACTTCGTGATGCGGTGCTGCGTAGTTGGACGGAAATAAGTCATGCAGTTGGGTCTGTAAGGTAGCGCTGGCACGAAAGACCGTCCACTGAGGGCACTCCTTGTGGTTGACCTGGTTTGAGCGACGTCACATGCAGTGTTCAACTGTCAAAACGTACCAAAATGTGCTGGGTTTGCGCCCCAAATGATTGTACCCACTGAATGTATTGTGGGTGTTTGAGGACTTGCGCATTGCCCAAGTGCACCAGCAATGACATTTTCACCACGGCACCGGGTTGCTGGTACCTAGTGCCAACGACTGAGCTAGCCGATGAACCGAACGAGACGTGTACGATGCAAATTGCTGTTTTTGCGTGAGAGAAGCAATCGTGCCAATGGTTGGGCATGCCACAATTGCAAATGCTACGCCTGGGTTGAGTTAGCATGGCATTGCCAGGACCCTGTGGGCAGGGTTTACCTGGACTGGACGTCGAAACACAGTCGATGGATTTGACAGTGACAGAGGCTCCGTTGACATCGATTACCACGTCCTCCCCGCGATGCAGCTTGCCGCACAGCGGGCCTGTGATTGTGGATTTATCTTTGCGGTTGAAAAATGGACAGACGCACCAACCTTTTGGTACCCCCAACGCAAGGGCCTTTTGGATGAGGAACTTTCCACGCTGAGTCGGCGTCTCAACGATGTAGCTGACACTGATTGGTGCGGCAGTGGACGTCTTGGCACGTTTGTGGGTCGGGCTGCCACTGGTCGTTGCAGGCGCTGCCTCATCAACAGCGTCGTCGACAACCACAGGCTGCAAGGCCATGGATTCGTTCTGGACAACTTTGGGAGATGCAGTGGTCAGATCCTGGACCTCCATAGCAAATGCAGGCCTAACACGGACCATGAACATGGTCCAAATTACTTGGTACCTGTGCAAGAAGTGGCGAGTCGCGCGAAAAAACGCCTTTGTTCCAGTAGGTCCAAACACGTTCAGGCCTTTCTTGCCCGTGTCAGACACAGTCAAGATCAGTCCAGGCAATCCACCCACAGTGGACGACGCGATCTCAGTCAAGCATACGTGGTGGAGCTTAGCTAGCCGGACGCGATGTTCCATGCACAACCTCTGGAGCCCCTCGCCAGCATTAAAGAGATACCTGAGTTACGTGAGTGTCAGTCCATCCATGTCTATTGGTACCTTTGATTCTCGTCGGTCACAATGATTGCCGGTGACATTTCTGTCGACGCTACGCTCAGCACTTGGATGTCAACCGGCATGATCGTGGTGGTGCAGCTGCTCAAGATCAAGTTCAAAAGGAGCGCCAGCCAACAATATTAGAAGCTACAGGTTTGTCCTCCACAGGTTGACCTTGCACATTAAATATCCCACCGTGGCATGCGTCTTCAATAGTTTGTCAATGATTTTCGCTTAAATAGTGCTAGTGATGTGCCTGGAATCATTTGACGAAACGAAAATTGTACACCCGAGGCATGTATAGACGATGTGAAGGGAATTCGGCCCAATTTCGTCGGCTCCACCAAGTATTTCCCAAGTTGAGATACTTGAAGTTTGTATGTGATGGTGCCGTTAGAATGTTGGTCTAGCCACTTCCCTTCTCGACCCGACATTCCACACGAGTCAGTTGCCAAGTTGCTCGATCAAGTCGTCATGGCTGCTTCCCCGTACTTTGCCAAGCATGTGGCGATGGCGCTCATGTGCGTCGCATTCGTAGTGGCCCAAACGGCCAGCACTACCATCCCACCCTCCAAAGTCGATGAAGTCTTGAACAAGACTGGTGATCAACTCATCGACGAGTTGGCTGGTGGCGACTCTGCGACCGCCCGCTGGTTGAAAAACATCATTGCCGCGGTCGCCATATTGGCCACTTTGGCCGTGACATTTGCTGGCTACAAGCTGATCTATCCCGTGCTCTTCATCGCGTCGTTCTTCTTGGGCGCCGTCTTCTCGTACGATGTCTTGCTTCAAGCATTTGCCAATGAAAGCCCTGCCTTGGTGGGTTTCTTCATTGGTGGGCTCATTGCAGCCATCTTGGTAGTGTATTTTTACGACGTTGGCATCTTTGCTGTCGGTGCCGTTGCCGGCGGTGCCGCTGCCTTCTTGCTCGTCACGTCGGTGTTTGCCAGCGTTGGTGGTGCCAACCACGTGTACTATCACTACGGTTTTTTGGTTGTTGGGTCACTCTTGGGCGGTTTGGCAGCCATTTATTTGGAAAAGCCTGCGCTTGTGATTGCTACGGCATTTGGCGGTGCGACCATCTTTGTCGGTGCTTTGGGCCACTTCATCGGCGGCTACCCTACGGTCCAGCAGTTAACTGATGTCAGGGCGACATCGTCGTTCATTGGGGCCGTGCCTTCGTCGTGGTGGGGTTACTTGGCTGGCACGGTGGCCTTGTTCCTCCTCGGCGCGTATGTTCAATTCAACCACACGGCCCGCAACGTGGACCACATCCGCGGCGACACTGTCGAAACCAAACCTCTCCGCAGCGCCTACCAGACTATCTAATAGTTGGTTGGTCGAATTTGTGTTAACATGGAGCTCTTCCACTGCTCTCCATTCCAGTTTGCCCACTGCCGAATTCATGCAACCCATGGCAACGGGAATCCTTGCGACGACTCGTTCGACCAGATCGTCGAGCACCACACGGCTTTTCTTCAAGTTCGCCATTGGACTTTGGTATTCGCACGGTAAAACATGAACTCTGTGAGGGTTCTGAACTGCGCATTAACGAACCCAATCTGCACACATGACGAACTGTGGCGCAGCGCAATGAGCTGTCAAACCATTCGCGCCTAGCACAAGTCCACCTCCGTTTCGATGGTCCATGTGCTACCCAAGTGAGGCGTGCTTCGGTGAAGTTGTAGGCGGAACAATCGCTTCGACAAGAGGGGCGGGCGCCTGTAACTTTTCAGCGATTTCATGCTGGCAATTTTTGTGTCGCGCTACTCGAATTAAAGTTTGGCATTCCAACGTTCATTACAAAACGCGACGTCGTGCGCAGTTAACCCATGTGCACCGACACGGGGATGCCTTGGCGACCCATTTCCTTGAGGTGGTCTAAGTGCGCGCCAAAGGCGGCGGCAAAGGTCGGCAAGATGGGGTAGCGCACGTTGTACTCCTTGCACACTTGCATGATGATGGGCGCAATGGAAGGGTAATGGTACTGGGACACAGACGGGAACAAGTGGTGCACAACTTGGTAGTTGAGGGCCCCGGCCATGAATGTGGTCAACCAAGACCCGTGCGAGTAGTCGAGTGACGACTTGACTTGGGACACAGCCCACTCGTCATCCAAGACAGATTTGACATCGGTGCCGTTGGGGTAGGTGCATTCTGTGGAGACATGGCTCACTTGAAAGTTAAAGGCCAAGTGCCAGCCTGTGAAGAGTTCGGCGAGCAAAAAGAGCGGAACAAACGTCGCCAGCGGCACTTGGAACACTACCAACGGAATGTACACACGGTAGAAGACCCAGAACGACTTGGACAAGATGAGTTGCACCCATTGAATGGTACTCGGGGGATTGACGCGGATGGGACCGTTCGTGAGGCTGCCAAACGTGTCGGTGAAGTCTTGGATTCGAAACTTCAACCCCAACAGACCATACAACGGCGGCAAGTACAAGTGCTGGAATCGGTAAATGGAGTGCATCATCTGACGCGACACAATGCGGCGGACATCGCTGTCAAAGTTGACGGGAAGATCGGGATCCGCACCTGCCACGTTGGTGTAGATGTGGTGGCCAACCACGTGTTGGTTCAGCCACGACACCATACTGGCACCGGCGAACCAGTCCATAAACAAACGACCAGCAAACTCACGGATAAACGGTTGCTTGGTAAACGCAGCATGCGACGAGTCATGCATGACGTGGAGGAGCGGAAGCGCCTGGCAGATGCCGAAAATCGCCGCAGACACGACTCGAACGGCAAGTACGGGTGAGAAGTGCATCCCGTAGTACGACGCAGCGGCCACGGCCATCACGACAGTCATACGCCAGAAACCAGCAAAACCAGCTTGGGGGTTGATGTTGTTTTTCTCGAAGTACTCACCCACACGCTTGCGGCACTCGCGGTAGAATCCCGAGTCCGGCTTGTACACGGGGAATTCGGCAGGTCCAACCAACGTCCCAATTTCGTACTTGGCGAGCACTTTTTCAGCCTTGTCGCTGAAAGGATGGTACGAGTCGAACGTGTCCGTCGCTTCACGGCCCGAGTGCAAAATCACCATCTCCGCTCCTCCCGGATGCTTGTCAACCCACGACGTGACGTCGTATACCTTATTGCGCACGATCATCCAAGCACTTCCAGCATGGTTGTGCTTGGCGACTTCTTGCCACGTGAACGACTTCTTTGCTTCCTTGACGTCGGTCGCGCCTGCGCCAGCAGTACGTTGGCGGAGTTCGCTTTGCGGAGCCATTCGAATGTTGAAATCCAAACTGACGGATTTCAGGCCATCAACGAATCCGGATAACGCGACGCGTCATCCGCTGACCGTGACGTCAAGCACTTTGATTGGCTCGTAACCGATATCTTTGAATTACTGGTCTTTGATTGGGCAATACATCATATGCGTGTTTTTGGGGCGACCTGAAGTTGCCGGCGATTAGCGGTCGATGAGCAGGCGCGACCTGCGTGGCGGAGTAGAAAAAGCGCATGGAGACAGGAGCAGTGGCAATGGGTGCTACATCAGACTGAAATTGTGGGAGTAAGCTTGGCCACCAAAACACTCACACTTCGCGTTTTGTTCAACGAGCCCCAAAGATTCGACCGACACAGCGAGAACGAAAAGATTTGATGACAAAGTCAACGAAATGGTAAGTTCGAGCATCTGCACCATGAATACACCCCAGCAACCACATCACATGCATTGCAGGGTGTCTTGGTTCACACTGGATGTCACGAGAGTGCGATGGGCGTGAAAAGTCACGTTGTCTTAATGGTTGGCGAGGTTCGGCTCACTCTTTCCACAGACATGCTACGAGTACGTTATCATCTCGTGGGTCATGTTAGTCGCGTTACAAAAACAGAGGACGATTTGCCGTATGTTGCGGCATCTACACAATGCCTAAAAGGTTGGGGGATTGAAGCTCGACAATGTCGATTGGAGTGCTTGCACAGTGGGCGATCGGCTGTCGGGTGCATGGTGCGACCCACTCGCCAGGACTGGAGACGTCACCGTCGCTACGGAGAGTGTGTCAACCAATATTCAGGTTGGGGAAACGAACGACGAATTCAGTCGACAGATAGATGATACCCGTGTCGGGGGTTGGCTTGTCTGGTGCGGGCAGCGCCGTTGACCGTCCGATGCTGTTGACATCCAAGCGTTTGCATGTGCAGTCGCAGTCAGACACAGGACACACTTCATGCGTGGCAAACCAATCCGCCATGTGATGGGCGTGTCCCCCTAAAATAGTTTTCGTCAAACCTGCATCTGGGTTGGCACTCGGTGTGCACACCATGTCGGCAAGTTTGGCACCACGTAAACCACTCGACGAACGGAATGCTCGACAAGTCCGCGAGATTATCTGCGGTCGCTGGCGACGTCGTCGTAGCATCGTGTTCAAGAGATTTCTTGTCTTGGCCTTTGCGCATCGCGAGCTCCAAGTACGGGTTGAGTGTGCCAAATGGGAGCAAGCACAGAGCGCATTGGGGCAGCGGCCGCTTGCAGCTCGAGCAGTTGTTGAGCTTCTGTTTTGCTTTGAGTAGCCAGTCGCCAGCTCCAACCCGCACCAAGCTGGACAGCGTCAACGGCGACCCACAAAAATTACATCGCACGTAAAGATGGGGAGGTGGCGGTGGCGCTGCACGAGTCTCGTTGGGTGCGGTGGGCGTCGCCATTGCGTGTCCAAGGCTAAGAGCAACGTCGCGAAATCCCTTGAGCTGGTCTTCCAGTTGGGTTCGCCCAACGTCAAAGAGTGCGCGCTGGTGAAACAGCTGCCACTGGTTGAGCAAATCGCGGTACATGCCAATCCATTTCGCATACACCGCGGCAGTGTCCTCTGGCATGGCCGACACGCGGGCGACAAGCAGCGCTACGGTCTGGATGTCGCCTGTTCGATCCAAGTACTCTTGCAAAATCGTCGGTTCAAGCCCAACAAGCAAGAGCCCTTGCAAGTTGCCTTGGCGCGTGCACGTCTCGACGCAAATGTCGATGAAACGTGTGAGGGCGTCCAGAGGCAGGTACCGACAGGCAAACGCGGTTCGATCCGACAAAAGAAGGGTTTCGTCGTGCAAAATGGACGTGAAGAGAGGCGGGTCTTCGGGAGACGACTGCACAGTGGATGGTCGACGATAGGCGAGCGAGGCATTCGAGAGGCTGGTTCGGGAAGACCGTGTTCCCATGGACGATGCTTGAGTGGCTGTGCTGAGTTCCTTTGCAGCGACAAGAAACGAGCACAGCGCGTGCAAGTATCGCGGCGTGCCGGGATTTTGGATTTCAGGCCGTCGCAGCAACTGATGGCACATGGAGCTCCACAGAGGGTTATGAGCGGTGGTGCCGATGGAGTACCCAGCTACGGCCATCGCCACCAGTTGGCGAACGTCGCGAGTCGGGGACGGGGTCGGGCACTCGGCACCACGCTGGAGGACTGCCACGGCTGCTTGGATATCTCCATGAAACACCGCGAGTGCCGCCGCACGGTCAAAATCGAAAGCGGCTTCACATTGAGTGATTAGAGTGTGCAACGTTGGCATGGCGGCGTGATGTGGATGGGGTATAGGGGCAGCATTCAAGTTGCCCGCATTCGATTCCCCGTCGTCATACAATTGGTTCAGACCAAATTTGATTGAGGCGGGTCGCGGAATGCTGTTGAAATGCAGCATCGACGTGCTGCCATCAGGGTCCCACTGACATGCAAGAAGAGCCGTGCGACGCCCCGTGCTATCGTAAACGAGGCATCCTAGCACCGGGTCCCGTAGCGATGTCTCATAAGGCACTGTCGTCGACGGGACCTGGGTGAGGCCAAGCAAGTGCTGAACGCCAGAGGTTACGAGGGCTTGAGGATTGACGGGCCACTCTCGTAGTGGCGCGCGTTGCTGAATCCCCATGCTACCTATTTCTACGATGATTCTGTCACTACGAATTGAGACAGTCGTACCTCTACATTCATGAGTGGGAACGTCGGTTTGGGCCACCGAGAGACGGCGCAGCGACTCGACTTGGTCAACCCACTGCCATACAAACCGCATGTCCCTCGTGGTCGGGTCGTCCTGCGTGAATAGCTGCAGCGACGTGAGGACATTCATCGAGTACCCCGCGCGGACCCTGCGCATCATGGTCATGGCAATGTCGTCGGGATTCTGTCGACAACCAAATGGACGAATGAGCGTCAGCACCAACGAGGACGGCAGCGTTACCTCGACCGGGTCGGCGTACAACAGCGTTCCACATGCAAATCCAAGCACGTGTTGCGACGACAGCGCGAGCGGCATCGTGTCATGGATCGACAACGTCTCGACCTTGCCTCCCACAATCGCCAGGAGCATTTGGTTCGAATCCCCCATCGTTTGTGCTTGATCTTCGTTCGACGTGTTGGACGCCTGCCACGAAAATGCAAACACGGGTTCCTGCGTCGACCGGCGCTTGAATGGTTTACTGATGACGGATGTGGCCGACGACATGAGCTGGATTTGGTGCTCAATGTCCCACAGGGAAATCGCCCGGTCGTCGAGCGCTGTCGATGCCAAAATTCCTGCTTGGGTCGGGGACCAAGCAATTTGTGACACGACCTTTGACACAGGAATCGTTACGACTGGCTCGTTGTCATGCCGAGCGCCTTGGATCGATCGAATATCCCACACTTTGATGGGCTCCTTTGGGTCGTCACTGTATGTGGCAAGAAGGTGCGGCCGGTGCACGTCAAATACGACGCCGAACACACCTGATCCATGGTGAGGTCACGTATTGCAAGCACGCATTAACGCGATCTTCGCACCTTTTGTGTGGGCACTAAACTCCATGAATCGAGTCTTGGCGCGCACGTCGTAGATACGAAGCCTAGACGTCGTCGCTTGTGGACGGACAATGGCAACACATAACGTACCATCGAAAACCAGTGCCTGTCGCCAAGCACGACGGTTCAGATGGAAGCCAGTCCAAGGCGACAACCGCTTCGGAGTTGGCAAGTTCGTTGGTTAGAGTTGGTCGCTGTTGCGGCGACGAAAAGCCGTGGCCTACGTCGTGACAAGCGCGATCACGGTGGTCCCGAGAAGAAGCAGTCCGGTACCGCGGTACGAGCTGGACTTTGACGAGTCTAGCGCATCGAAGGGAGTGGAAGCTACCGAAGAAATCGACGCTTGGGTGGTCAGGTCCCACACGAATGCGCAACAGTCGGCGCGGACTTTTTCAAATCCGGCGGCGATAAGTTGGGGATTCTGTTGGTTCCACGCCACAGTGTTGCATCCGATAGTTCCATGCATCGACGGTCGTGGCGCCTTCCCAGAAATGTTGCTCAAACTGCTTGATGTTCGAGGAGGTAGCAATTCCACGACAGGTTGTGTGAAATCTGACAGGACGACCTTGCCAGTCCCAACTCCTGCAGCAATCAATTGCTTTGGAAGTGGACACCATTGCATGCTTCGTACTTGGGTCACCTCAGCGTCCGTCTGGAGCGAACGAAAGTAGTTCTTGCTTCGGCGCTGGGTTGTTCTGCGCGGAGACGACGGCCCCAGTGACGGCCGAACTCCCAAGCCAGGTGTTGATGGAATCGACGACGGCACATCACGATCAGACTGGCATTCGAACAGGGTAAGCGCATCAGACCCCACAGCGAATATACCGCTGTCATTGGGACACCATTCCACGACCACCTTCGGCGTCGGCAGTTTGCTACTCAGCATCGCAATCTCCTCGACAAGAAAATGGACCAACTCTCCAACATTTCGCATTTTACTAAAACTTTGGAATTTTTTGCTGAAAATTTCAACTGCATTTGGTGTGAAACGTTGCAATCGCACCAACACAGCACTGGAGCACGACGATATGGCATCTCCCTCGACGTGGACGCGGCCGCCAAAGAACTGGGCGGAGGCACCAGTCGCACATTCCACTTCGTATGACGATTGGACTAACGTCCATTCTCGCGCGTTCACAATCTTGAGGGCTCTCGAGCGCCTTCACCTACTGCACCCGACACCCCCGCTGTACAAACGGAAGCACGGCCTTCCCGACGAACCTGAAGCCCGCACTCAGCTCGTGTTGCACATTGTTGGGGCGGATTTCCGTGAGGGCAATGAAGTGTCCGAAACATTACGAGTATTTGACCAACTCCTGTCAGCGTTCGAAGCACAGGAGGCGAATGCGTGGGACGACCTTATGTTGGTGTTTGTCGGTCCGAATGTCGCGCGTAAACTCCATGGAAGGAACGAGCGAATCGCTCGACTGAATGGGAAGAACGTATACCTCCAGTATGCCACGGAGCTATGGGACGAGTACCTCCGGAGCGCCGCGTACACTTCACCGGCGGTCGTATTCTGCTTCAATGCTGGCGTGTGGGGATATGACGAATGGCTCCCGACGTTCCAGCTCATGATGCGAGAAAATCCCCTTGCACCAATATTGATCACGTCGTACAATGAATGCGAAGCCATCGACGACAGCGATGCCATCGCTGACATCGAAGTGCCCATCCAGTGGCACTGGACCATCGAAGCAAATCCGTTCGCGTCGTTGAGCGCACGAGCCAGCCAACACGATCGCGCGCTGTATGAGAATGCCTTTTGGCAGTGCTTTGGGGCAAAGTAGCAAAAACGTTGGCATTCTCCATGGAGCAACGCACGTCGACACGTCGTTCACTGTGTTCAGGTGAATGAGCTAGTCGAGCCAAACGAAATTGAAGTGTATTGTGGTCAACTGCTTGCTTGTGTCATGCACTTTCATCCCATTGCGTCGGTCGATCGCCGAGAGGTCATACCTTCACACTCCAACCTGTAGCATCGCTCCTTCAACCATGGAAGCCGTCCCAACAGGTTGCTTGTCTTGCTGGGATAAATATGAGGAAGGCGCAGGCTGGACATGAAAGGTTCCCATCCAAACATCTTTGTTCGCGCACCTTCATCCATGTGATGATGAGGAAGGACGATCATTGCCCCGTTCTCCTCGGTACTTTTTGAAACCTGGCGCCATTTTCAGGGCCAAAGTGTTATCCGAATACTCTCCGGATAACGAATTCCGAGTTTTATAGTCTCGCAGCGCCAGACTGCGAGACGGACGGGCCGGACTCGTTGCACCGCGATGGATCCGCAAGAACCGGCGGCGCCGAAGCCAAAGCTGAAGCCCAGAATCAACCTGAACGTGTCACAACTTCCCCCTAGGCGATTTACGGCTGCTACTGCGGCAAGAAACAGCAGTAGCAACAGCAATGCGGAGTCTCAATCGGCGATGACGGCGACAGGTGCCCCCGTACCTGCACCTGACGCTCCGTTTCAGACCCCCTTGCGAACTCAATCCGCTACCGACGTGAGATCAACAATTATTCGCAGCTCGCACTTCAAGACTCCACCACCTGCACCAAGCGAGCAACGTGTTGCTTCTGTGTACAACACAACGGATACGTCGCCATCGGCTGCCCAGTTCAACACTACTCCATTCCGGTCCGTTTCATCCAAGTACGGCCTTATTGATCCGTTGACACCGAGCAGTCGATTGACGCTTGATACGGTGGTGGCGCAAGGGCGTAGCCAGGAAACGTTCTACCCATCGGCAGAATTAATGCCCTCCACCATTCGACCCGACGAGCCATTGAGTCCAAATTCCGCCCTGCTTAGTACGTTGGATGCAGTGAGTCAACTTTCCATCGGATCATCCAAGAACTCGACACACTTTGAGAACCCTCCTGCACGAACGACATACACCCCCCCGGCTTCACTGAATATGAGCAGCAGTTCCAGCTCGTTCATAAAGCAGCGCACGACAACATTCACGACAACCCAAGTTAGCATCGCATCGTCCAACCACCCGACGCACGTGCTACGTTTGGGTACGGGGGAAAACGGAAACGGCGGGGACATTATGTACTTGTCGACTCGGATTCGCATTCGCGCCGGCAACATCCATTGCTTGCGTTGTCGGACAACCGTCAACTCTGGGACCGGCCAACACATGTCCACAGTGGACGCAAGCGGCAGCGGGTTTGACCCTGATGAAATCTTTGTCCTCGTGAACGTCACACTGCGCAGCGACGAAGGACGCGTCAAGTACTCCGACACAGTCGCGATCTACTGCATCTCAGGGGCATCCAAGGGTCGATTCCTGTCCGTGGATGGGTCTCGGGGTGTTACGACCAAAAAGGGTCCCATCATGTCGAACGCGGAAAAGTGGCGACTTGGCGAGCGGGACGACTTTAAGCACAGTCACCTGTCGCACTTTGGAGACACATCTGGAGGCCTGGACGAGTCACTGGCGACGCTGGCGCCGGCCGTGCGGAATGCACAGCGGACGCTGCAGTCTGGGGACCGCGTGTGTCTAAAAGCGTACGCGGGGTCGTATTTATTGTGTGCGGACAAAGGCGTCGTGGGGCTCCGAGAAATCGGGAACGAGCACTCGACCACGTTTGAATGGGAGATTACAAAGGCCAGTATTCCTTACAACCCGCCTTGGAATCGTGACCGCGCCTTCTTGACCGGTGCGTTTGTCCTGGAGCCGACCGACGACGTCGCGGAACCGGTCCAGTCGTTGCAGCAACTGCCGTTGTCGGTGCAGGAACGGTCGTTGGTCGACGACATTTTGTACGTTTTGCTCGGGATCGAAGGCCAATACATCAAGAAGCAAGACATCAAGCGGCCAGCCGTCGCCCACTACAACATTCAACTGCCGACCCGCGTGTACAGGGATTTGTCGGTTGAAATGTACGAGCACCTGCACTTTGTTGTCGATCCTGCGTTGACCGACCCGTCTCTGGCGTCGTTGGCGCGAAAGATTGTGCTGCTGGGCGAGTTCTATATCCACGTCACACATTACGTTGAGACCCACACGCGATACGAGTACGGTCAAGTGTGCCATGCCTTTTGTGCAGCTCTGAAGGTGCTCATCCGGGAGTACACAGTCGTGGTGGCGCAACTCGAGCATTTGGCGCTGCAAGGCGGCTTGACCTTGTCAAAAGTGTGGTTTTACATCCAGCCCAGCATGCGTGCGATGGAATTCCTTAGCACGTTGGTCCGGTCGTGTCTGGGCCATCACGGCGGTGCGCTCCTCACCGTCATCGCACAATTGCCGACATCTGGCGATGCCAAAGCCACATCTGTGTTGCACTTCCTTCTGGAGAAAGCGTCGGTGCCGTATTTGAAGATGCTCGAGTTATGGATCTACTGCGGCGACCTCCACGACCCGTACGACGAATTTATGGTCGCGTCGGACGATACGCTCGTGAAAGAAGAACTCGGCGAGGACCCTTGGTCCAAATACTGGGAGCAGCGGTACACATTGCGAGACGCCCACGTCCCGCTGTTTCTCACGCGGTTTTCATACAAGATTTTGACTACTGGCAAATACTTGAACGTGCTGAGGACGTGTGGTCGGCACGTGAATTGCCCGTTTGCAGCTGCAATCACGCATGCCGAAAGTGTGCGCAAGTAAGATGGCCGTCCACCTCTCGTGCGTCAATAAACTTGCTTTGTAGATACGACGAACTGATTGAGAATGCCCACGGGTTTGCAAGTCGAATTCTGGTCGATATGCTCCGGAATGAACAGGACTTGATGAAGCGATTGCGGTCCATCAAACATTACTTCTTGATGGACCAAGGCGACTTTTTCGTCGACTTTATGGACTTGGCCGAAACCGAGTTGAATCTGCGCGCCGACAAGCTCCTCGCGTCCCGATTGGAGTCGCTTCTGCACTTGTCCCTCCAGAGTTCCACGTGCAGTTCGGATCCGTACAAGGATGATCTTGTGTGCCTGCTGTCCCCGCACGACCTCATTTCACAAATGGAAGCGATTCACGAACGGTCTCAAAAAGTTGGTCGTGCCCCGCTCTCGACGTCGATCGCGTCGTCTCTCAACGACCCAGGTGAGAAATGCGATTGTTTTGTGTATTGGAAATGCTTGTTGTATAAAGTGTTTTTAAGGGTACAAGGCGATCGATGCCTTGACATTGGACTATAAAGTGTCCTGGCCGTTGTCGCTCGTCATTTCATCTGGCGCCCTGAACAAGTACCAGATGATCTTCCGACACTTGTTTTTTTGCAAACACGTCGAGCGACGGCTTTGTGATGCGTGGCGCAATCATCAGTCAACCAAGGAGCTGGCGCTGCGGTCGGCCTTGATGACGTCGTATTGCCTTCGTCAACGCATGCTGCATTTTCAGCAGAATTTCGTCTACTACATGATGTTTGAAGTAATTTCTCCACGATGGCACGCGCTCGAGAACCAATTGATGACGGAAATCACAACCGTTGACGACATCCTCAATTGTCACCGCGACTTCCTCGACCAGTGTTTGAAGGAATGCTTGCTGACGGACCCAGACCTTCTCCGCGTCCTCACCAAACTCATGACGGTGTGCCTGACGTTTGCCAACGGCATTGACCGGTTCACCAAGCCATATCGACTGGACGAAGAAGCGATTCGGAACGAACGCGAAGCCGAACGTGATCGCCGCGCTGACAAGAAAGCACGTGATGAAGCAGATGCGATGTTGAACCCGTCGCAGAAACTCAAGACGCGTCGAACGTTGTCGGCAGCAGCGCCTCGACGAAACTCGGGTGTCGACTTGCGCCGCGCTCGTCTCAAGGATTTGTCGGATGACGTGAGGCAGGCACTGACGGGCGAGTTGTCCCCGTTTGTGCGAATGACGGCTGAACTCGAAGTCCAATTCGACACATTGCTGGCCGAGTTCATGCAGCAGCTACTCCACCGCTCACACTTGCAGGTACAAAGTTGTTCTTCGCTCATGGTTGACATGACATGAGATTGTTCTAGTACAACTCGCATTTGTCCAACTTATGCACCCGGTTGGATTACAACGGGTTTTACACGCAATAACGATAGAGACCAACTTGATGAAGTCGTGCCTTTTGGTGTTGGACCGGTGGGCCTCTCGTTAATTTACACAGCAAAAAGCGCGCTGGAGCGTGTTTGCGCAAGCTCTCGTAGAGACTACCCAAAGAGCCGTGGGGCAGGAAACATTGGGACGAGGCGAGGCATATCAAACCCGCCAAGCCCTAGCACGGTCCACTGCATGAACTGCGACGCACATAACGCGTCTGCTTCAAGTTGTTGCAGTCCGATCAAGTCGCGGACTTCAACACGGAACTGTTGACGAACCGTGACAGGGTCCATTCGATCCACCGCGGACTGCTGGTGATGCAGTTGAGTGCAAACACGTCGAATGAGGTCGTGATGCGCCCGTTGGAATTTGGTCAAAAGGGCGGTTCGCTCGGCTTGGAACCGGTCAGATGTTGCTTGGGCTATATCTGGATCTGTCAACCCTACAAAATGGATGGATGTTCAAGCGAGGATGCGCGACATGGCGACTCACGATGCACTGGGTCCATCGCCTCGATCTCGTCCACTTGCAGACAGCTCACTTGCATTAGCAAAGCAAGACCATGACCACCACCGAACTTGTTCAGTGTTGCTGTTCCATCGTGAAAGTCCGATGGCTCTTTAGCAGACAAAAAGTCGGCTTCGTTGATATCCAACTTTCGGGGCACCTTGGATACCATGCAAGGGGTCTCATCACAAGCATTTGTTCGCTCTTGAGCTGATTCGACTTCTGCTGCAGGTGTACCAGAGGCGATTGTCGAAACAGCAATAGCCTCCTCTACTTGCGGTTGGGTTGGACATGGTTGAGTCACGGAAATGACCGGCGGCGGCACATCAAGCACAAACGCGGGGGCTTTGGTCTTTTTGGGAATGACAAACGGCGACCATTCCTTCGCAGGCGGACTTGACGGTTGCTGGGGTGTGTGAGTCGTGCAAGGGGACGACGACGGCGATATTGACACGACTGGGGACAATACTTCTCGGACATTGACCTTTTTTGGTTCGGGCGTCCGATACAAATTGGTGTCGACAACGATTGACTCGACAGATGCACATCGAGGATTTTTCTCTGGCGACATGGGGGATTCTGCTTGGACTTGGTCAGTGTGACCTGGAAGGGTGACTTGCACAACGGAAGGAGCTTTTACCACGACCGGATCGAGAGTCGACTTGCAATTAGCTTTTTCCACGACAACTTCGACAGTGTCTTTGCGCTTCTTGGGAGTACATACGACGAGCGACGGCATCTCCTTGCGTTTTTTGGACGGCACCAGCGACGTCGTGGACGTGTCAACGTCGTAACTCCACTGGGGAGTGAACGACGTTCCCTGTTTGTTCTTCAACGACGACTTTTTTGTCTTTTTCATCTCAACTTGATAGTCCAAGCTGCGTTTCAGCGTGATAGGCTCTGCGACCACTGCTGACCTCTTCTTGGTGGGTTTTCGAGTTTGCTTATAAGGTAGTGGACGGGTCACGACTTTGGTAGTGGGCGGCAAGTGGAGGAATTCGTTGAGTGAGAGCACTTGCAGTTGGGTCGAGTTGGCCATAACAACCATCCATTCCTTCTCGCTACTGCTGTCATCTCCGTTGCATGGCAGCAAGCTCAAGAGGGACGCTATGTCAAAAAAATCAACTCATTAGCCAGGCACACCACATGATGGCCACGATTTGTCACCTTGATCTTGGTAGAACGCGTCGTAGCCAGTCACAGGAGCTGGCGGGGAATGGATACCAAGACCAGTTTCACTCGCCATGTCGTGCGCGAACACACTTCCATCCGAGCACACGCCGAGAGTGATTCCGTGGGGAATCCCAGCCAAGAGGGTGACCGTGCGCAGCTGACGTTTTCGGTTGTTCAGGGTGGGCCGTGCTGTTGGGACGACGGACGACGGAAGGTCCTACAATGTTGAACCAACATACCATCAAGCTTCATGGACCACAACAATGCCATTGCTGTACCAATTCAATTCGTTGGGCGGAGTCGAGATTCACCAAGGCCAACCGCTCTTGGCCACCAAACGCATACTCGCCACACACTTGCACCGTGTCCTGTAGCAGTAAATTTCACCCGTTGGTATGCGCACACTAGAGGGGCTACCTGCGTCTGCTTGATATCGTTGAAATCAAATGTCATGGCGTCCGACGTCTCGTCGATAGTCCACACGCGAACTGTTTGATGCTCCGACTTGGAAATGATCTGGTTCGGTGCCGACCCAAAAGCCAAATACTCGAGCGAAATACCTACGTGAAAGATCTTCTTCAGTACCATGGACACGACGGGTACGTCGTCGACACCCACCGTTCGTTTGACGATCAAAAATGCATTGCCACGTCCACTTGGACTCTTCGTCGTCACTCATAGGATCCCAGTAAAATCGCCACAAGTGCAAGTTCTTGATGCCGAGGCCGCACAACACTTGATATTCCGTCGTGCTGCATGGCCAAGGTCCTTAAGTCCGCCAAGAAATCGCCGTAGTGGCCAACGTACACAGTGGACGAGTTGCTTCCTGGCATGGCCCGGACAGCCCCGAATCCCTACGCGATATAAACAAGGACGGATGAGAACTCTCGATACAGAGCGAAACGTGCTTGCGATCGACATACACGAAGTTTCGCGTCGCTATACGAGTGAGTGTTGACTTCGGCTGTCGGGACGCCGACGGCGTCGGTCGGCAGTCGGATCGATTCGATTTCAATCACGAGGATTTCCGTGGACCCGCGATACACGCCGGCAAAGATGAAGCGCCCGTCATCTGAAATGGCACGTTGATACGATGGAATTTGAAGCGATGAACAGTACCAGGAATGACCACATTCACCCGAAGTTGAGTGTACATGCCTCGCGCTGAAATGTGTTCCAAAACAACACCCTTTCGGAACACGAGTTTGTTCTCATCGAGAGACGCCGTGTCCTCCGTCTCGAGCGACCCTATAACGACGGGGGCGGCAGAACCACGCAGCGGGTACAGTCGGATGGTGCCATTATTGAACCCTGCCACCACGAAACGTCCCGCTCGATCGATAGCCACCGAAGATACCTACATGATGCTCTTTGAATATTGCGGCACTTGTGAGATGACGATACCTGAAAGTCCAATGCAAAACTGTTGGAGGTTTGTTCTGGAACTGCTTCCGCTTTGGGTGGCTTGGATTCGAAGAAGACCTCGCATTCGCTGTCGCTCCCACTTGAGCTGTCTTCTTGAATGTGAGCAAGTGAATGAATCGCGTTAAACGCCTTCGGATTGTTTTCAGACGTGACATCGTCGACTTCATCGTCGGTCATGTTAAGTTGCTTCGCCGATCGCTTCTTCTTGCCTTGACTCAACGTAAACGCGATCGCATTTTGTCCAAGCAATTCAGCCGATTTCTACACATGCACTGGCATCCAAATCCCATACCATTCGTCAGTACCTGCTTGAGCGGCGGCGTGAAGAACGACATGGCGACTCTTGCGGCGCCCTCGGTGTGGAATTGTACAAGATGGCGGGAGGGCATTTCAAATCCGCCATGTTGAAACTTCAAAACAATAGCTTGGATAAAGTATTGAAATTTAATCGCATGGAAAATAATGTCCATCCTCGTCTCCGATTGGCTACCCAATCGGGCAACCCTTTCAATCACGCGGGAACAACGTGGTTATCCGGATACGAAATCCGGATTTGTACATCTCATGTTGCATTGACGATCTTACAACGTCGCGCCCGCCCGCGACACGACGTCCGACTCGTCATCGTCGCTTGAGAATTCCATCTCGAACTCGTCCTCGTCTTCTGCATCGGCATCTGTCGGTAACTCATTGTTGCTATGGCTCCCGATGGAGCTGCCGTCTATTGCGTCGCGGTTAGTTGGAGTGCACATGTTGTTCACAAGATCGTACCGTCATCTCCCTTTACCCGTGCGACTTGGCGTTTGAAGCATGGGTTGTATCGATAATCGATGCGCTTCCCTTTGAACTTCAGCCCGTACAGGACGGCGACACCGATCGTCAGGACCACAGCCGCCCCCGTAAGCCATGGAATGTACCTAATAATCACAACGTTCATGACATAGGGTGGCCTTGGTCAGGTCTATGCGATAGGTACGCACTCGGCGGGGCCGACGGAGCCCTTGACTTCAAATTTCTTTCTCAGACGTGTTTGACCTGTTCGGAAGATCACCCCGCCTTGACTGTCGTACATCGTGACCTCCATGCTATTTCTCGACACTGCATGCTTCGTGATCGTTGTGTTTCCAGCGGGCACTCGAAAGGACGATTCGCACTGCACAGAGTGCGTCAGTTGATTGGTGTTGGTGGCCTCATCGTGGTGGCGTACCGAGCTCAGCATGTCCATGTAGGGCATGATTGACGCCGCTCCGTACGTGTACGACACGAAGTCGTTGCTGGTGTCCACGTGGAGTCGGACGACTTGGGACACCAAGTCGTTCATGCCAAAGTACGCGTCGACTTGGAACGCGGTGAAAAGTGGCACGAGAATGGCGTGCAAGTTCTGGTAATGGCCTTTTCGATCGCGGTAACAGAGTGGAAACTGTCCCACGACAAAGAGCCACGGGGCTTGGTTCTTGGACAACGTCTCGTTCAGCCTGAAGCGTGCCTCTGAACACGCTCCTCACCCTGGATGCGTACCAGATCATCTGCTCGGTTTGACGTGGCGCGATCGAGTCGCACAAGGAAGTCCCGTTGGTGCAATTGCTTACTGGGACACGCAGTGTTAGAACGCCGACTGCAGCATAAGGTTCGTACTGGATAGAAAGAGCTGGGACTCATCCAGCACGACAACCTACAGCAAGATCATCGGTATGGCATTGCTTCCACTGATGGTTGTCGCAAGAAACCTGGGCCAACAGCGAGGCTGGATCAGTATCGTCCGACATCACTTCATAGCTGGTGTATCTGGGCGCCGATTCATTCAACGTTGTGGTGAGTTCGCTCGTTGGAATCACCCATTGTGTATTCTGCATCATCCAGGTACATGGTGAGGCAGTCGTATCGTTACATGGTGGCCGTACGTTGTTCTGTCCAGACAAGGCATATGGCTCCATCGTCAACGTAAACGCGGCCACTTCATGTGCGAATAGCGCGTGGAGCTAGCCATGGACGGTAACACGGACTAATCGTGTCAACACGTACGCTTCGTGTGGTTTCTGTCTGGTTTGCCGACGGCCCGATCACGTAAAACGTCGTCGCGTCCTTCTGCGCAGCCACGGCCATCACGAGCCACGCGGCGGCCACGACGCCATGCAACCATCGCCCCCGCCACATTCTCGACTGCCAAATGCGGCTATTTTTAGATTCGCCAACGGTTACACGATCGATGTCCATCGTTAAGACGGGCGCAACAACTTTGCTGAATGGCCGCCGCGGTCGACGTAGCGTGGTGTGAAGCCATTTCAAATGCAAGCGCGGTCATGCCCAGGACCCTTTATAATGGCGTTAATTCCTTCACATTCCCCGTCGTAAACGCAAAAATGCCTGGGGCGGCCGTGGCCGTGAACGTCACGTCTTCGTCGTCGTCGTCGTCGCTCCAATCGTCATTGGCGGTCGTGGCGGTACGGGAAGCGCCTACCAAGACCAGCGATGTTACGACAGGTGGCCGCACCGCCGCACGTACCTACCGTCTTTCTCGTCCCCAACGGTGCAGCAGTCGCAGATCGATAGAATCCAGCGCCACCCGAGCATGACGATTTCCACCAATTGCTCAATGTGGCATGCAGCGGTTTCATCCCACAACCACCGATCGAAGTGGGTGCCGTTTCGTAACGGACGCGATCCTCGCACGGTTTCCTTGCGACCGCGTTGTGCCGTCGAGCACCATGACACCCTTCCTGCGCGCCGTGCGATGGATATGGATCGTCGTGGCCGTCGCACTGGAGTCCGTCCATGCCAATAGCTTGATCGTGATCTCCCAACCAACTACTATCACAGCCGGCGATGCATTCAACCCACCGCCAGTTCTCCAACTCATCGACGACGCCGGGCTTGTCCTGACTTCGGTCAACATTGGCTCGGTTACCGTCGCCATCGCGTCGAATCCGTCCACGTTTGGACAGCTCTCTGGCGTGACGGGGCTCTCCTTTCCCATTGTTACGGGAGTTGCCACGTGCACTGGTCTGTCCATCAACCTCGTCGGGAGCGGATACACACTGCAATTTGCATCGCTCTTTCATGGTCTTCAAACCGAATCATCGCCGTTTGACATTCTTCTTGGCCCTCCTTTCAAGCTGAGCATGTACACGTACATCGGGACAGCACAAGGCGGCACGCCATTCCTGCCGCAACCAGTGGTGTCGATCGTCGACCGAGGTGGGAACATCGTGAACACGGTCAACCAAGGCACTGTATCTGTGTCGATTCTTTCCAACCCCGTCGGCGGGATCCTGACGCCGTCCACGTCGTACACTGTGTGGATATATCAAGGACTGGGCAAGTTCTTCGACTTGAAGATCAACAAAGCCGGTGGCCCCTACGTGCTTCGATTCCGGGCCGACAATGCCGTGACCCTTCCCGGCGGCAGCACGTTCGACACGTTTCCGTTTACAGTCTCGATTGGTCCTGCGAAAACTGTAAGCCGCGAATTCGACCGTCCCAACCTCATGTGTTGCCGCTCGCTGTAGATGTTGATTTCGGAGCACCCGATTGCTGCGTTTGGCGGCGAAGCGTTCGCGATCCAGCCCACGATCACATTGATCGACGCTGGCTTGAACGTTCTTGGCACGCAGGCCAACATGCTCGTCGTTGCAACAATTTACTCCAACCCGTCCAAGGGCACGTTGCTTCCCGTGGCTGAGACAAGGGCCAACGTGATCGATGGCGTGGCAAGCTTCAAAAACTTGCGCATCGATGCCGCTGGCAACAACTACGAGCTTCGATTTGCTGTGAAGACCCCCGATGCCCGCGGCATCTTTGTCGAGACAGACTTATTCATCGTCGGTCCATCGTTCAACGTGTACATTGGGACACTCTTTTCTCTGGCAGTGGTCCAACCTCCCCAGAGTGCCATTGCTGGTACCTTCTCGATCGTAGGGCTGCTTGTTCATTCAGGTTGTGCGTGGTAGATGGACAGCCCATTTACAAGCAACCTATTCTCGAACTGCGGGTACGTTGGACGGGTTCGAAGCAGCCATGGTAGCCAAATTTGTAGGACCGGGGAGCAAACGTGATTGTGACGGAGAACTTAGCGCTTGTGACTGTGTCAATGGTGCCCAGCTTGGCGTTGTACAACACTCTCATTCTCTCGACCGTCAACCCGGTGCCGGCGGCCGTCGTGAGCGTAACCCTCCTGCCATCGCTGTTCACGTCGCCGTACGAACTGTCCTGTTGTTGACAAGTACTGGTGCTCACGCTGTCCGACGGTAGGTACGGGTCGGGCACCGACCTCGTGATCAGCGTTACGTTTTCGCAAGAAGTACTTGCCACAGGCGATGTGCAATTGATGCTTAACAGCGGCGCTGACGCGACGGGGCGATGCACAACGCTGCTGACGTGGACCCGCACGCTCTTGTTTACCTACGGCATCTCGGTGGGCCACTCAACCGGTGCACTCAACTACATCAACACGCAGTCGCTTGTTTTGGTCGCTGGTTCCATCAACGATCGAATTGGGAACGGAGCGTCGATCATTTTGCCCGATCCAACGACAGGGGGTATGCTCCCTGTTGTGGCGGTAGACTCGACAGTACCATCCGTTGTGTCGGTGGGGTGTGGTGGCTCAACAGTAGCAGGCACATATGGCCCAGGGCAAGACTTAATTCTTGCCGTCACGTTTTCGGCCCCCGTGGCTATCTTGGGCGAGCCTGCTGCGCCAGTCCCCGTGCCCACATTGTCCCTGAATGTAATTGCCCCACAAGTTGCCACGTACATTTCGGGCAATCAGTCGCGAGTCCTTTTGTTTCGGTACACCGTCGGTCTGGCGGACACGTTGACATCGGCGCTCTTGGACGTGACGGCAAGTGTGAGTTTGAATGGAGCGGCCTTGCGCCGCGCTGGTACGACCCCAAACCAAGTGGCCGACGTCACGATGCCTGTGAATGTACTTCAAATGCTCCCGTCGCTTTGCCCCATTGCCATCGACTCGACTGTCGTCACCGTGGATGCGAACGTGGGTATCACGACGACTAGTGCTGCCGGCGTTTACGCTCCTGGTGATGTCGTCACAATCATTATACCGTTCACAAATCCCGTTGTCGTGACCGGCATTCCACTGCTTTTGTTGGACACGACCCAGAACGCGATCTACACGAGTGGCAGTGGCACCAACCAATTGACGTTTCTCTACACGGTTGGCGCGGGCGACTGGAGCTTGGACTTGAATTACGCGACAGACAACTCGCTGCTGTTGAACGGAGGCTCGATTCGCCGCTTTGTCAGTGTTGGACGAGCCATCTCGGATGTGAATCCGTCGCTTGCGGCCGTGACAATCGCCGCCAAATCGTTGGCTGATCAAAGTGCGATCGTGATCGATGGTCGGACGCCCACGATTCAAAGCGTCGTATTTTCTGCAGCGGGGACGAAAACCCGGGGAGACTCGGTGGCCATCAGCATCACGTTTTCGTCCGACGTCGTCGTCAGCGGTGGACCGCCGCGACTGACACTCAACACGAACAGACGAGCCATTTACACAAGTGGAAGCAATACCGCCACGTTGGTCTTTACGTACCAAGTCCTGTTGGGCGATAACACGCAGGCCTTGGCATACAGCGCAGCGTCGGCCCTTAGTCTCAACGGAGGCACGATTCGAAAAAAGTCAGCGGCGCCTTCCTTAGCTGCCGACCTGTCGCTTCCATGGCCTTCAAATATCTTGAATGGCCCCGTTGTCATCGACCCGAACTCGGCCTTCATCACAACTGTCACGGGATTTGCGTGTGATTTGCCTGCCGACGACTACGGTTTGAACCAAGTGCTCCAGATCTCCGTCACGTTCTCCGATGTTGTCCAAGTGATTGGGAGCGTTCAGTTGAGCTTACAAACCCAGAACATTCAGTACGCGTCAGGGTCCGGCACATCGACCTTGGTGTTTTTGTACGTTGTTCGCGCCAACGACGCGACGCCGAGCTTGGACATTGCGTCGCCTGCGCCTTTTTCTTGCCAAGGAGCAGCTCCATGTTCGATTGTAAATGCAAACTTTGTCGCTGTCAACCTCGACTGCACAGGGCTGACTCTCCAACCCACTGGTATTTCAATCAGCACGGTCGCGCCGTTCGTTCAATCCGTCGCGGCGATTACGACTGCCCCAACGATCAACTCCAACTGCTTTGTGGTTGGCGACGTCATCGACATCTTGGTGGTAGCGAGCAAAAAGGTGCACGTGGATCCATCCCCGGATGTCTTTCCAGACAAAGTCCCGCTCTTGAGCATGGCCACTGGTCGGGCGGGGGCCGTGGCGCGCTTCTTTGGCTACGGAGCCGACCGAACGCAGCTGATCTTCCGGTACATCGTCCAACCTGGCGACATGACGCCCGACCTCATGTATGCCAACACCAATTCGTTGTCGTTGAATTTCAATCAAGCCACGATCAAGCGGCTGACCACCAACCCAACCACCAACATGGACTTGGCGTTGCCGACTCCACAAACTCTTGGCGTGGGACTCAAAATCGACACTTCTCGCACGCCTCAAATCACCAACGTCCAGGCTACAACACCTGACGGGACGTACTTTCGCGGCGACTTGATCACGATTCAAGTGTCGTACACGGAAAACGTGGTCGTGACCGGACAGCCTGTGCTCAAGTTGGACTTGGGAATCAATGACCGTGACGCGGTGTACACCAGCGGCAGTGGGTCGTCCGTTCTCACGTTTCAATACACGGTTGGACAGGACGACACGTCTCGAGACTTGCGGTACATTGATGTCAAGTCTTTGTTTGTGCCCCTGGGTGCGTCCATCCTCCACCGGTACGAATCGCTCCATTCAACACAGGCGGTGGTGCCGACGGAGTTTGATTTTGGTTGGTAGGGCGACAAACCCCACGGTAAAAGCAAACAACCGGCTGCCGAACCCCGCGACCCCCGGATCCCTGAGTTTCAACAACAACATTGTCATTCGAGGCAGCACTCCATATGTGACGGACATTTCATTCGTCACAGTCAACGGCACGTACACTGTCAACAGCGTGATTCAAATATCAGTCACATTCACGACAACGGTGACTGTGACGGGGGCACCGTTTCTCGAGCTTGCAACGGGTACAGTTCGTCGGCGTGCCGCGTACATCGCGGCCGGCCCCGACACCAAGCTAGTCTTTCAGTACCGCGTCGAAACAGGCGACGTCTCGAATAAACTCGACTACGCGAGCACGTCCGCCCTCAACTTGAATGGCGGGACCATCATGACGACGCCGACATTAGCAGGCCGACCGCCTGTGCAACCGGCAAACACGCAATTGAACCCACCAGGCGGTGCGCTGTCCGGAGGTCGCATCATCCAAGCATCGTTGGGCCGAGTGTCGTACACAGACTTGGGCATCGATACGATGGGTCTTCAATACGTGATTTACTTTAGCACGCCGCCGAAGGTCGAGGCAAGTGTCATGTTCAACGTGACGTATTCTGCCGTGTGGGAGGTGCGGAATTCGCCCATCAATGTCCAAAACCGCGGGGACAAGACTGGGTGGAGCGTCGACGTGAACGGAGCGGTTGCGATCGTAGGCTCGGCAGGGACAATCGCCAAGCGGTACAACGTGCAGGAGATCACAGCGTGGGGCAGTGCATCGACGTACGTTGACGAAGTGCAGTACGTGCAGACGACATGCGTTCACCGCGATGCTGTCCAAGTGAGTGTATGGCACACCTTCATGTACTCATGCTTGGCATAGCTCCTGAAGAGCAGCGCCGCACCTGGACAAACCGTGGGTGGGTATTTTTCACTCATGTACGGAGCCGTCGGGCCAACGCGGAGACTCTCGGCGGACTTTGATGCTGCTCAGTTGGAAGTTGCGCTCGAGCTGGATTTTGGCTTGGCCGCGTCCAGTGTCGAGGTGTCTCGATCGCAAAACACATACTGCGGCTGCAACAATGCGTACGAATGGACGATCACATTCCACACCCAAGGTAAAGGCATTTCCTATTTCTACATTTGTAGTTCACGCCGTGAGTTCGTAGGGGACGTGCCTACACTTGTGGCGAGGAACTACTTGACGGGGAACGGCGCCACGATTGGAGATGGAAAAGGCAGTGCGTCGGCCATTGTTGTCACGCAACCACCCGTCGTGGCGGGGCTATTCGCGCTTCGATACGGCACGATGACGACGCAAAACATGCCGTCCAATGTGGATGCAGCCACCATGGCCACACGTCTCGCTTTGGATTTGAACTTGCCCATTCGAAGGTTGATCGAAACGTATCGCTTCAGCGTTGCCAAGGCCTCACCGTTCGTGCTTCTAGTGTCGCTCGATCCGAACCGACCATTCAAAATGGATACACTTGGAGTATCACGTTTTCATCGTCGAGCACACTGTTCAACATCAACGAGCTTCAACCATCGCCGGTGTTTCTGACGGGCAACCAAGTCCTGTTGTCAGTAACGACGGTTCGTGAAGGCCAAGCCCCGCTCTACGGAAGCTTTCGTTTGGGTCTTGGTGACGAAACAACGGCCAACATCCCCGTGACAGCGACGGACGTCGTTATGAAAGCAGCGCTGGAGTCCCTTCGTCAAGTTTCAAGGGTCACGGTCGCCCGATCGCCGCAAAACAAATTTGGTGGGTATACCTGGACCGTGACGTTTGTTGAGATCAACACCCCGACCATTTACGGCTTGGTGCTCAGTAACTTGGGCACGCTGCCGCCGCTGACTCCTGTCACGCTGGTGAACAATATCCCGATTCTTCTCGGCAGCGACGCGGTTATTCGAGTCGACTATGCAGGCGTGAACCCATCCGTGTACTCGAGTGCGTCACTTGGAAATGCACCAGGGGAGAGCGCTGGCTCGGCAACTGTGTTTGTGCCGTACAACAAGCAATGGGTGCAGTCGGCACTCCTTGTGGGACAGGACACGCGCCTCGGAGACCAATTTGGAACCAGTGTCGCGTTGTCGTTGACGGGAAATCAGGCCATCGTGGGCGCCCCGTTTGCCGTAGGAAACCTCCCACTGAAACGTCGCATCTGACAACCTCGCCCACTTAGGTCTACCGAGGGAACACGGAGCAGCAAGCGCTTTCATGCATTGCTGATGGAGGGACGTTCACGTTGTCGTTTTTGGGTCTCGTATCGGCGCCCATTGCGTTCGACGCCTCCAGGGTACCGTATTCCTTCCAGCAAGTCTAGTCATGTTTCAATGTAGACCACGCTTCAGACGGTGATCGCAGCGCTGCTAAAAGTCAATGCCCAATTCATCACAGTCTCTTCGTACACAGCGTTGTGCAGTGGAAGCGTCATTCTCATCACGTTGGCAACGCCCGACTTAGCCGACTCGTCAGGCAACATCCCCGACTTAGTGCCAGGTACACGTCACTTTGCTGGATCACACTTACCCATACTCTGCGTACGGTAGATGACTCGTTGTTGACAAGTGGGGGGCTCAAAGGTGTTGTGTCGATGCAATCTGTGGTCCAAGGGTCGTTTCGCGAGGACGGGCCCAATGCCAAAGGCACGCGGTGCGGTGGAGCGTACTTTTTCACGTCGCCGTCCGTTGGAGTATGGACACAAGTGGTGAAAATGACTCCAACGGATGGATCCGAGTCGCTACCGAGTGAATTCGGCGCCAGTGTATCCCTCGAAGGCAGCTTTGCAGTCGTCGGGGCGCCTGGTGCTCGATATGCCAAAGGCGAGGCGTATGTGTACCAGTTCAATGGTGTCCAGTGGTCATTGGTACGTTGTGCTTTGCTGTATCCTTGATGTAACTAGTGCTTAGTACCAAAAGTTGACGTCGTCGCCGTATGTGTCGGCGCAAGGCGACCGATTTGGAGATTCCGTCAAGGTTTCAGACACAACCGTTGTCGTTGGGGCGCCAGGATATGCAGGGAAGGTCGGTGCTGTGTTTGTATTCCAGCTTGTGAACGGGGTGTTTATCAACCGGCAAAAACTCCAGGTACCTTGCAAAAAGGGCGACCGAGTTGATCGTGATTGACGTGACTGTGTTGTGTGGTTCAGCCTGGTGACTTGGCGGTTGGTGACAAGTTTGGCAGCTCCGTGGCAGTCGACATGCAAACGTCCACGATTGCTGCGAGTTCCAAGTGGCGGAATCAACGTGGCGCCGTCTACATCTTCTACTCGCCCGACTTGTTCTTTTCGTTGCAGCAAGTCGTGCAGGGGTCCGACACGCAGCAAGACGATGGATTTGGTCAGAGCGTCGCGATTGTGAAGAATGTCCTCGTGGTCGGCGCGAACGAACATTTCAACTCGAATCGGCCATTGACCATTCGAAAAGCAATTCAGACGATCACGACATCAGGGTCGTCGCCGCTTGGCAAGACATTTCGGGTTGGGTTTCGCAAAGTAAGCGATGGATACGAAGAGGATTTTGTGTACGGCATCGCACCTTTGTGGAATAGCAGTGTCGTGACATGCGATGGCGTGTAGGTACTCCAAGCCGATTCCATTCGACGCGACTGCTACGGTGGTCCAGCAGCGATTGCAAACCGACTTGAACACAGGCGCACTCGTAGTCACGCGGCAAGGACCGGACGCAAACCAAGGATATTCGTGGTCCATTACGTTCACCGGGTCCACGTCAGACGTTCCAAAACTCCGTGTCGATGGCTCCGCGCTGACAGGTACTGCAGTTCATTCTGGCGTTGCGGGAAGTTCCGTTCACCCACACTCACCGCTTTGGTCACTAGGAGCAAATGCACAAATCACGTGCACGATGGCTGTGGCAGTGCCGCCCATAGTTCGCAGCAACGTGTACGTCTTCCTTCGGACGGGGACAACGTGGCAGGAGCAAGTGACGCTGCGGCCAACAAACAAGCAGTATTACAGGTAAACCTCCAGTTCCTGTCGTACTTCAAACTTACGTGTTTGTCTAGCATGTTTGGCAACGCCGTCTCGCTCAGTCGAAATGGTTTCCATGCAATTGCTGGGGCATATAATGCCGACACGTTGTTCAGTGCGATCAACAGCGGTGCCGCGTACTTGTTTGACATGGCGTTCATGGACTTTCGTTTTTCCAGTCCAACGTACTCGGTCTTGGAAGGTGACACCGTGTCGATTCCTGTGCAGCGATGTGGGGCGCTCGGCAACGCTTGTATCATGAAATCGACGTACGTTTGTCGATTAGCGCGATTCCCATGCTCACTCGGGGATGGTAGGGCAACTCAAGAATTCATTGACTTCGACACGGGCGATGCCGTCACGGACATGGCGGGACAAAACCGTGTCCCGGCCATGGAGCTCAAGTACATTGGACCTTTTCAACAGTTGTGCATGTTGACCGTGACGGCGGATACCCCCGGGGCCAAGTACTACCCCGACGTCATGGGACCGGAGCCGTTCCCGCTTGTGCCGAAAGGCCGCTACATCATGCCGTATATGATTGGTACTGCCCATAGTCGCGCTCAATCGTACGGAAGCTCTCGATATCGCTCGGTGTGGGTGGACTCCCAATACGACTACTTGGGGGTGTCGGACTACAGACCAAGCTCCGGGGAATTGTCTTTTCCGCCACAAACGGTCCTGTCGACATTTTCGGTGAGTACTACGGATGACAGCGTGTACGAATACCCTGACGAGACGATCAACGTCCGCTTGAGTGTCCCTGGCATGTGGCCAACGTTTCCATCTCAGTTCTGGTCGCAAATCACGATCCTCGACAACGGCGATGGTGGAATGGGCACCACGTCGTACTCAACTCGATTGACTGGCGACGTCACAACCGGAAGTCGACTGGGACAATCCGTCGCGTTCTTCGACGGCATCAACTTGGCTGCAGTTGGTGCGCCATTCGCCAAGATGGGTGGTGTCGAATGTGGTGCTGTGTACGTGTACAATTCGCGCTCGGGGGTGTGGACGTTGGAAGCAAAGCTAGTTCCTCAGTCGTGCACCCCAGGCCTCCGATTCGGGACATCCGTGGCAATTGATGGGTCCTATGGAACGGTTCGACTGGTCGTGGGATCACCTGGTCCACCGACACCGTCTGCAGTCGTGTATCGACGCAGTGCGCAGCGAGTGTGGTCGTTCGAAGTGGAATTCTCTGAACCTCAAGCGGTGTCCATAACGGACAACTACGCTGGACGCGATGCCGTTTCAATTCATGGGAACTTGATCGTTGTGGGGGCGTCAGGCTTGGAAGCCGCGTTTGTGTACACATTCACACCGACAGGTTGGCTGCCTGCTGTGGTCCTTCGTGCGAGCGATTACACTGTTGATCAAGACAACTTGCTCTCGATCACGCGCATGTTTCACTTTGGCGCATCCGTGGCGACGAATCGACGAGCAATTGTTGTCGGAGCCCCCAAAGCGAACTACGGCTCGCAACGCGTCCGAGACGTTGACTTTTTGAGCAAAGGCGCTGCGTACATGTATTACCTCCCGGCGCAAGTTCAGGTCGTAGCTCTCGTCGCCGATTCCATTGTGACAGCAGGAGAATTCACCCTTTCGAACGGGGTCACGACGACGAATCCATTGAGCTATCAGATCTCCGCAGCTGACATGGTGTCAGTCTTAAAGGCGCTTGTTCCAGACGTTGAAGTGTCCCGAACGGGAGATATCGTGAGGGGGTTTGAATGGCGTGTTACTTTCATCTCGGAAGTGACGAATCAGCCGCTGCTGGTACCTGCATGGCGCGGAAATGGTTGTGCCATCTGCATCGCGTTCTCCAGTGGGTATGTTCCCTCTCGAAGCGCTGTTTCGACGGGGGATTGACTTAGGCACCCGTAGGTTTGCAGCCAACCCTACCCGTCAAGTGTCGGTCGTGGAGACTGTCCTCTTGGGCACATGGACGTTTCAGACACAGCTGACAGCTTCCGACGGTAACCAAGCCGACCGATTTGGACACAGCGTCGCGTTGGATGGAAACGCCGTAATTGTGGGAGCGTACACGTCGTCAGCCTTGACGACAACCACGTGGAATTTTGAAACAGGCGACTTGACTGGGTGGATTAAGACCGGGACCGCATTCGACGCTCAGCCGACTTTCGGTGACAATGTGATGGCACGCGGTGATTCGTACAAAAGTTATGAAACAGCCAAGGGTACGATCCAGCACGAAGGTCGGTACTGGATCGGGACGTTTGAAAGTCGACCTGGCGCTGGAGTGTCCCAACGGGCGTCCCCGTTTACGTGCGCATTCGCCAACGCAGATTGCAGGACTACAAAGTACAGTGAACCGGGGACAGCAATCGCAGGGACTTCTCAAGGCGACGATCCACAAGGAACGCTGTCGTCTCAAGTGTTTACGATCATGGGCAGTCGGATGTCGTTCAGACTTGGCGGCGGGTGCAATCTCGCAACGATCTATGTCGAACTACTCGTGGATGGGGTTTCCGTACGGCGAGAAACGGGCCGATGCGACGAAAAGATGCGTCTTGTGACGTGGAATGTCACGCGGCACCGCGGCAAAAGCGCAATCGTGCGCATTGTGGATGCCTCCAGCACTGACTTGTGGGGCCACATAAACGTTGACGATTTTCAGTTTGATTGGGCGGTGGAGCAATCTTCGACGAGCACAGCTGGGGTCGCATATGCATTTCAGCGGCAAGCGACGCTGGCATCGTTTAGTCCCTGTGCTGGGATTCCAAAACTGCAGTGCTTTTGGGTCTTGCAGTCGCGCCTTGTTGCCAGCGACAAACGGCCGCAAGACGAATTTGGATTTTCCGTGGCCGTTGACGACTCGGTTGGTACAGCCGTGATCGGGGCGTACCATCAGCCCGGAGTGAACCTCAACAACTCAATCGTGCTTCCAGAAAACACAGGGTCTATCTACCTCTTTTCGCGCATCGACGCGATTCGAGACGGCGCGGGAAATGTCCTAGCGCCTCCAAAGTGGCTGGCAAGAGAAACGGCAAAGTTTCAATCGAGCGACAAGTCGCCAGGAGCTCAATGGGGGTATGCCGTGTCGCTCAACGGACCTCGTTTGGCTGTGGGAAGTCCTGGATTTGGAGGTGACACGGGATGTGGCTACGTGTACGACACGCGGTTTCTTCAAGTGTCTTTTGCAAGTCCTGAAGTGGGAGTCCTCGAAAATGTCGTTAGCGGTCAAGTGATAGTCGTGGTATTGCGTACGGGGGACCTGAGCCAACCACTCACAATTGGGTACGTTGGGTTGATGAATTTGCCCTGGGGGCCTTTGTCATGGCGAGGTTTTACGTAGGTATGCAACGAGCGATAGCTCTGCCGTTGGCATTGACAGTACATGGTTTGCGGCATGTTTGGGCATGATGATTCAGAATCGCGTTCGGTGTGGCGACTACCTCCAGACGCGCGGCGAGCTCACGTTCAACATTGGCGAGTCGAACAAGGTCATTGCTGTGTCAATCATGGACGATTGGTGCTACGAGCAGTACCCCAAGTACATTTCGTTGCGCTTGAATGTTCTAGGCGGCGACGTGCTCTTGGGCGAGCAATTTGCCATGGTCATTCGCATCGACGACGATGATTTTGGACGAGATCCGTGTTAGACAGGTTAGATGGGAATACCGGGTGGGTTCTGGTGAGGACGTTGGGCCAAAAAGCAACTTAATCTTGCCGATGCTTTTTGAATAGACTACGCCTTCATGTGTGAGGAACAAAGCGGCATGAGATCTTGCCGTACAGCTTTTAGAATCCGCGATTGTTTTTGACGTAACTGCTCGTCCTTGATGCATTTGCCCTGAGCCGCGACGATTTCCTATGGTCGTTTGAAACCCAAACTCGTATAGAAAGTAGGGGTTGTACACGCTCAAGTTGCCGAGTGTCTCGACGATACCGAGCTTTGACTTCTTGCACTTGGTTCTACAGTTCACCAGTTAGATTTCGCGATGTGAATAGACGGCCACTTTAAGCCGCTGGATTTCTAGGTCTTTCAGTTGTAGCTCCATGACCAAGGTGTCAGCAGTAATTCGGCATCCACAAGATTCTAATGAGCAACGCACATGAGCGACAGGTAGATTGACACGCAATACTGTATGTGTACGTTGATCCGAGAATTCAGAGTCGATCTTGGCGACTTGGCCACCACAATCGCCTTCGTCGAACGGAATAACGTTGGTAGGTTCTTTTACGACCCCGTCCGGGTCATTGATCACTTGGTTGTCGTTATTCGCGTTGTCACTGCGCAAGTGGTAAAAAACTGCGTCCTCGGTAGTGCTTCCTGTTGAACATTTCAGAAGTTCGCCTATGGTGCGGCCCTTACCATCAATAAACGAATGTATCGTGGACAGAAGGGGGCCTATTCCCCCCTTTCCTTGAATATCAAGGCACAGACAGAGCTGGAATGCTAAGTCAACACGTGCTCCATTGTGGAAGTTACCTTCAGCCTCTCGGATTGCTTTGATGAACAGCCGTCTTTCCTCCATCTGCATCACAAGTTCGTCATTATCTCCAGTGTAACCCAAGCGATCAATCACCGCTTTGTCGGGACGCTCTCGTCGACGCGATCTTGCATGACCGTTAGCGCGCGCAAATGCAAATTTGAAAGGTTGGGATTGTTATCCGGACATTTCGGTTGTGCGAGAAGTGCGCTCTCATGGTCGCAAACTTCACGACGCTTGTGCATCAGCAAGCACTGTGGCGCCGCGAGCTCACATACCGGCGGCTCTTACCTCGCCACTTGATGTCCCCAACATAAAGATGGATAGATGCATGGGCTATGCTGGGAACGTGCCTAAGGTAGTAGCGATGATTCGGAATGTGGGACTACTGACGAATCGTCGAATGTCATCTTGCAACCTCCGCCATGGCCGAGCGCATGTAGTGCATCGAACGACGGCGAGAAGCACCTCCACGCTAGTGATGCACATGTTGTGTGGGCCGTGCGACCGACCTTTGTCAACTTTGCATGGCGACTTTGGAGGCCAATGGTTTCGCGAGCTTGTTTGGGCCAGCGGATCTAGCGAGATCAGCCCTAACCGCTGTTCGAATCCATACAAATCGCAAGTATATTTTGTGTGGTGCTTTGGTTTAAACGGAACACATATATATTTGGCCACATCACATACAATTAGCTCAACATGTTCCACCGCCTGACCGCTCGCGCGCGAACTCACTTGCCGACCGCGGCCGCCGCCATGGGCGTGGGGCTTGGTATGGGCATGATGTCCAACACTCGCCCGTCGGAAGCTCAATCGGGTGTCCCCAGTTCTCTCATCATCCCTGAGAAGCAACCTAAGATCATGAACGGGCTCAAGATCTTCAGCGGCAATGCCAACACCGAACTGGCAAGCAAAGTTGCCGAACTTGTCGGCGTCAACCTTGGCAAAATCACTGTCGAACGATTTGCCGACGGTGAGGTAAACGTCATGGTCCACGAAAACGTGCGTGGCAAGGACGTGTATATTGTGCAACCCACGTGCGTGCCCGTGAACGAAAACCTCATGGAACTGCTCTTGATGGTCAGCACCATGCGACGAGCGTCGGCGCGCCGCATTACCGCTGTCATTCCGTATTACGGGTATGCGCGTCAGGATCGCAAGATGGCCGCGCGTGTGCCGATATCTGCCGCTGACGTCGCACGACTCTTGGAAGCAATGGGTGTCGACCGCGTGATTGCCGTCGACTTGCACTGCGGTCAAATCCAAGGTTTCTTCGGGCCTCGCGTTCCCGTGGACAACTTGGATGGCGGCCTTGTGGGGGTGTCGTACTTTGGCAACATGGAACTCGTGAACCCAGTCGTGGTGTCGCCAGATGCCGGCGGTGTCGCCCGCGCCAAGAAGTTCCGCGAGTGGCTCGTGGGCAAGGAAGGCATTGAGAACGTCGGTCTCGCCATGATTATCAAGCAACGCATCAAGGCGAACGAAATCGACCGCATGGACTTGGTCGGGAACGTCAGCGGGTCCGACTGCATCATCGTCGACGATATGATCGACACGGCCGGGACTCTTTGCAAGGCGGCGCAGCACCTGTCGGATCACGGCGCGCGCAACGTATACGCGTTCGCGTCGCACGGTTTGTTCAATGGCCCCGCGAGCGAGCGCATCACCAAGTCGGCGCTGAAACAAGTCGTCGTAGTCAACACGACGCCGTTGCCGGCTACCTGCGTCGGCAACGACAAGATCAAGCAGCTCGATGTCGCGCCCCTCCTCGCTCAAGCTATCCTCAACATCCATGGCAAAAAGTCCGTGTCGCAATTGTTCAACTAAGCAAGTTGGCCAAATTGTTGTACATATATATAGATTTGCGTGTTCATGAGCATGCGTGCTGGGTTGGGCATGCATGGCCAACGTCCAGGATGGCCACCTTGCATTCGATGCGATCCATGCTTCATGGAGATGTCCTCCGGCGTTGCAATGGATAAATAGGTGCTACACCGTGAACGAGTCGGTCTCGACGTCGTCATGAACCAACAGAGACGCCGTCGCTACACCGGAGGGAACCACTGCGAGTTTGGCAAGCTTCTCGTCCAGGGCTTTCATCGCGCGTGCCCTGCAGTCCATGGACTCATGTGAGTTCACCCACACCAAAGACCATATGAATCGCATACTTGCGGCGTTCGGTCACTGGATCTGACGGGAACGTCTTGGGCTAGTTGCCGCCTTGTCAGATGTGGTGTACGTGAAGGGTAGAAGAATAACACACCAACGATGCGGCGGCAGCTTGCGCGTCGCGGTACTTGAAGAGCCCACACAGCTTGGCCACGTTGAAGAAAAAATCAAAGATGGGCGCTAGCGATGGCCTACTCCATGCGTTGGGTAAAATTGGAGGCCAGGTGAGTTCGGACAGACTTGAGGAAGGACGGAAACAACACGGTCAACGAGAACGCTTCCGACGTGTCTCCTTTCGACCCATCGGCGTTCTTTGCGATAAAACGAAGGTAAAACCATCCAAAGTACAACCCTGACACGGCGTACGGCCCAGCCCCAACAATCAAGATCTCGGCTTTGGTCAAGACGGCGCCAATTGACATCGCGAGACAAAGCACCGTCAGCATCAGTGGGTAATACTAACGCACAACAACAAGCATGATGAAGCACGGGGGTGGCAAAGTCGTACTCGACAGGGCACTTTCGGAATCACGAGCGCCTGAACTGGGTTCTCCTTCACCAACGCCACAAGCATTGCAACGAGACCTCCCGTGAAACCAGAAACCCCCGTGCGCCTAAGAGACGTGGAATGAGGCCGAGGCAGAACAACGTACAATGCAAGTAATTACAGGAAGAAGGCGTTGCGAAACACAATGTATAGGGCAAACATATCGCAAAAGAGCAACCCCGTCGAGACGACCCCGACAAAGCACACCAAGCGCACAAAGGACATGGTGCCCAACGCGATTTCGACGCGACTGCCCAGGTACAACGTAGCAGGCACAATGAGGACCACCTAATGCAATAATGGCCGTGACGAACGTTAGACTATCACGTGGGGGAATATTCTACCATGCGTTTACCTCCCACAGGTGTTGGTGATAGAAAGGAGCTGTGATGTACGCCCACGGTCGAATGTGCTCCAGGATAACGCTACGAATGCGACGTACTGACTCGAGGTGACAGTCAAAAGTTGAATACAAACCTTGCAATGGAGAGGGCAAACACCCCATGCTGCTTCTCAGGCGTGAGAAGAGCGCCGAGGATCCACAATACAGGGATGAGGGTGGCGAAGAAAACTGTCGCCGGGAACTACACAGGGAATCATGAGCACTGAAGGCTTGTCGACCAACCGCATGCGCACGCGGAAGTCTTCCAGGGCCATTTCGATGGGTGACGTGGAAACTTTCAATCGGAAGGAATCCCGACGTAACCGGAGAGAAGCATCAATTATCCGGATACGTACCATTTGGAGAAGTTGGAGGAGATGCATATTGCGATCTGCGGCGGTGGGGTCATCGGGTGCACGTTGGCGTACTACCTGGTGAACTCCCCAGACTTCAAGGACGATGACTCAGTTACAGTTGTGGAAGATGTGGAGGTGGCTGCCGCAGCATCTGGAAATGCAGGCGGCTTCTTAGCGTCAAACTGGTGCGAAGGCGAGGACATTGATGCCTTGTGTCGCCTCAGCTTTCAGCTCCATGAAGAACTGGCGACGTCACTCAATGGAAGCAAATTGTACGACTATCGACGTGTGGACACCATATTGTGCCTTGTATCGACGAAACGAGCTGGCGGTGTCAACGACGGCATTCCAGGATGGATTCGAGCGAAGGTGGTGGAATCCCATTCCATTGGCTCCACTGCGTCAAACGCTCAACTGCATCCACGAAAGTTCACCAACACAATGATGCAATTGGCGATCCAATCTGGAAAAGCCCATCTCGTCCATGGGTCAGTGCAAGGACTTGTATCCCGTCACAGCAAGATCAGCGGGATCGTCTTGCAGGACGGCTCGACGGTCGCTGCGGACGCTGTCGTCCTTGCCATGGGCCCGTGGACATTTCAAGCTCTCCAAGAATGGGCAAATTATCCCTCCATCGTTCCCCTCGAGGTGTTTAAGATCCACAGCATCATCGTGCAACCCACGACAACATTTGAACCCATCGTAGTCTTCGGAGACATCAAGAGCAACCCTCCCCGCGATGTAGAGATCGTTCCTCGGCCTGACGGGACCGTGTATGCATGTGGACCACGCGTGGCCGAGGCGCTCCCTCCGTCTGCGTCACAGGTGCTCCCATCGTCTCATGGCATCACCCAAGCTCTGGCGGACGTGTCTGTGTTTACACAAACGGATTTCCACGGCAACCAAGTGATCGCGAAGCAAGCGTGCTACCTGCCCGCGACGAAAGACAACATCCCAGTCATTGGGCGTGTGCAGGACGGCTTGTTTGTGGCAACAGGTCATTACTGCTGGGGCATTCTAAACGCCACGGGCACAGCCCTTGCGATGTCGGAGCTGCTCTTGACTGGTGCAGCCTCGTCCCTCGACTTGGAGCCGTACTCGCCTGTGCGGCATACAACTATGTACAAGTAAATATCGTAAAATGCAATTGCATCGAGGGAGGTGTCGTGGTTTTGTCGTTCACGAGCAGTGCCTCATGGGAAAGGTAACAAAGCTGGCATGAATGGAGTTGATGCATGCGGCTGCGAGAAAGCGTCGATGGGAGATGGAGCGCGGGGGGGGCGTCCTGTCGATCGCTGTTTGAAACCGCCGGTCCATGAAACCGCCATCTTTCGACGCTGTTGCGGCAGGTCACACGCGGCGCGATGGCAACGCTTCACCAGCTCAAAGCCCAAAACGACAGTCGGTTGGCGGTAAGAGGGTTGTCCACGAAAAAGTCGCCTGAAAGAGCTTTGTGTGGTTGTGAGGTCGAGAAGTGCCTGATCGACCGCAAGCGAAACGTATTGGTTCTTGCGATGCACTACTGCGTCGAGAACGGCTACTTGCAAACAGCCGAGAAGCTGCAGCAAGAAGCGGGCGTGGCTCTGTCGAAGTTCGAGGTCGTCGACAACATCGACTTGCTGCGTATTGTACAGGTTTCACCACCCCGACGTGTTTCCGAGCACAGAATCCATCCACGGTCGTAGGAGTTCGAAGACTTTTACGAGCTCAAGTTTGGCAAGAAACCAAAGCTCGTGCGACGTACGAGTGGCGACGAGGAAAAGGCGAAAGGTGTAGTTGCAACGTTGTGTTGGTCGACGTCGTCGTCACGTAATCTTGGCAGCGTCGCAATTCAACGAGAAGAAAGCCGCGGTCGAGAAGCGAAACAAGCGCAATTCGTACGCGTCGCCGCACATGCCCACGGAAGCGAGAGTGGAGAACAACGCGGCGCTCAAAGCAGTCCAGACATCTATCGGCAGCACCGCCACGACGTCCGCCGCGCCATCGTAACGTGATGCATGTCGGCAACTCCACTCATCTGTGCGAACCTGCAATCTAGGAAACCAGGTGCAGAGATTGCGTTGGATTCCTCCCGCAAAAGACGGCATGCAGAATGCACATATCGCAAACACTCGTAGCAGACGAGATGGCACTTGAACCAACTGTGATCCCTGGCGTCACGGGCCACAAGCCATCGCACCAGCGCACAGCCAAGCCTGGCAAGGGCAAAACGGTAGCACTGTCGCGCGGCTCAATCCTGATGATGCGATTGTGGCCATAGGAATCCAAGCTGGAGGAAGAGGAAGACACCGTTGAAGACAGGTGCCTCCTACGATCTTGGACATGGTTTCAATGTGCTGCTGCAGGCTACTGAAACCCCTGCCTTTCATGCACGACTCAGAGCTGCGTCCGCTAGCTGAAAGCATTACACGGTTGATATGACCATTAATCTTCACGGGTCTAATGAACAAAACCAGGGAGATCTTTCAGAAAAACCCCAATGTGCACTGGGATGATGTCGTCGGTCTCGCAGACGCCAAGCGATTGCTGAAAGAAGCTGTCGTCATGCCGTCCAAGTACCCACAACTTTTTAAAGGATTGCTCTCGCCATGGTACGCTCAGTCGACGGCACCGAGTTGGTCTTGCGCGGCAGATTCCATGGTGTCGTGATGATAGGTGTGGCATCTTGCTATATGGCCCGCCAGGAAATGGCAAGACGATGCTGGCAAAGGCGGTCGCGACCGAGTGTAAAACCACATTTTTTAACATCTCTGGATCGTCTATTGTGAGCAAGTACCGAGGGGACTCGGAGAAGCTCGTGCGCATGCTGTTCGAGTTGGCTCGGTACCATGCGCCGTCGACGATCTTTCTCGACGAAATCGATTCGATCATGGGCCAACGAGGCGAAAGCAGCGGCGGCGGCCAGGAACATGAAGCAAGCCGTCGAATGAAGACAGAGTTGCTCATCCAGGTACGACATCGTCGCATCTTGCGAGGGAATTGAAAGTCGTTGCTCGGGGGGGGGTTGCCTTAGATGGACGGACTGTCCAAGACACAAGAAGTTGTTTTCGTGTTGGCAGCGAGTAACCTTCCGTGGGAACTGGACGCAGCCATGTTACGACGGCTGGAAAAGCGAGTGCTTGTGGGATTACCGTCTCCAGAAGCGAGGACGAAAATGTTTTCCGAGCTCCTGGAGCCATACATCGATGCGAACTTTGACTTCGCCGACTGCGTGCTCAAGACCGAGGTAGCCATCCTTTGCTACGTGACGTGGAAACTCGTTGATGAGCTTGTGCGACGTCAGGGCTACTCAGGGGCAGACATCAAGCTTGTGGCCAAGGAAGCTTGCATGGCGCCTGTTCGCCGGCTCATGACAAAACTCGAATCCCCTGACGCCGAGAACAACCAACTCACTTGTGAATCCGGTACGTTCCACTGGTTCCCGCTGTTCTGCATGTGTCGTCAGCCACGCACTCGACAGGAAACTGGCACGAGCTTCTCGACAAGATCACAAGCTGTGACATCGCCCACGCCTTGGACAAAACCAAGCCATCCGCGCACCAGTTCCTTCGAAAGTACGAAACGTGGCACAATCGGTTTGGGTCGTCGTAGCGTCAACGCTATCAAATAATGTGTACAACTCCTCCGATCCACATACCTTGCGCATGCCGCCCTGCGTGAATGCGACGGCGGTGCGCGCAAGACCGCCGCTTAAATGGCGTGATGCCGTTATTAACGCGGTCTCTGATTGGTAACTGGACTTTTGGACGTTTCACAAAAGATCGCAACATTCTTCTCACCACAAACCAAGTTGCGATGGAGTCGAGAGAGAGTCAAGTGTCTGTCGCCGTGGACCTGCGCCGTGCCAGTGCACTAGCACACATCTCGTACGATGACCTGGTCTCTGGATTGCAGACGAAAGGCGGTAGTTCCTCTGTCCGTGGGGAGTTGGTACACGACGATCGCAGTGGCAACGATGCCCACACGACACCAGCTTGGCCCTCCAACGAACTCCGAAAACCGCGGCGGAGTCTTGTATTGACCCCCGGTGACTTGCCTACGCAAGATCCCAAACGGTCTCGACGATTCAACTCTGAACCCTTTGACGGGTTTACGGTCCCTGTCAAGGTTTCAACGTTGTCCATGATGGGAGACCGCACAAAGGAGAGCGACCTGGAATCCCAGCCGCTACTGCTAGTACCCGCAATGCCTCTTCAGCTGGATTTGCCGTCGGTGGTCACGCCGGACCAAGCTGTTGCGTTTTTGATCACCAAGCCGCAAGACCCAAGCCAACTCATTCTAGCCGTGCCGCATGCCATCGAGCATTCTTCTGTTGGCGGACTCATTCGTCGGGCCTCTCGCCTTCCTTCCGACATTAAAGACGTTGCTCTGGAAGCCACGGTGTCCTCCGAGTCCAATCAGATTCGCCTGCAACTTGCAATTCACAAATCCGTGCCATGGTTTGGCTTTGCTATCCTATTGACGGCGCTTCTGTTCGTCTCTGCCCAAGGTGCCGCCATGCAAGCCCTATTTGGTGTTCCTCCCATGCTTAAGGTGATCTGGCGCTTTGTTGGAGCTACATGCGCCTATTTGTTTTTGGGCATGGTGTCGCATTTCTTGCTTCGTGACTCGTCGGCATCTCCAGTCGTCGTCTCGCGTCGGGTGGTGTGGGAGAGCGTCGTATGCACCCTCTCGTACGCCGCCTTTGTCGGCACCTTTGTGTGGGCGCTTGACCACACGTCCGTGAGCCACGCGTACATCTTTTGCAACGCCCATTCGCTGCTTCTTGTTGTGGCTAAGTGGGTCACTGGGCAGCCCGTCGTGCCACTTGAGACAGTAGGAGCGATTTTGGGCATTGCTGGCGGTGTTATCACGACGGCAGACGGAAGCACGGCCGATGTCGACATCGTTGGCAGCAATTCACCGACTGTGGGTGGGGACCTCGTCGCGCTTGCTGGCGCTGTGGCCGGTGTGTTCTACCTCACGTATGCTAAGTCGCTTCGAAGTCAAATTGGCGTCCTCAACTTTTGCTCGATTGTGTTTACGGGGACGTGGGTCATTATCACTTTGTCCATGTTGGTGCTACAGCCGGGTGAATTCGAGCTGTCGGCGCACCCGACGCGGGGATTCTTCGGTTGGGTTCACCACATGGAAGTCGAATTTGTGTTGGTGATCCTGGTGACTTTGTGCGGGTCGATGGGCTTTGTGGCTGCGATGAAGTACTTCCCCGCGCTCGTTGTGTCTGTAACGATGCTTCTGGAACCCGTCGTAGCGACGGTCATTTGCCTCGCCTTGGGCATGGCGTCCGTTCCAGGATGGCTCACCTTTGTCGGCGGGTTTGGTGTGATCATCGGCACGGTGCTTGTCATTGTAAGTGCGAGCGAGTCCACCGAGACTGTCAACGTCACAGACGCAGCTGATCAACCGCTCCTCCTGGCCTACGATGCGGCGGCTGGTCGCAAAGGAAGCGTGCAGTAGACATTATTTCTTGGTGCTTCATTTTCATCACGTGGATTCGAAATCGGCGCGCAATTGCATTGGTCGTTAAATTTGAGTTAAATGAATACGATTGGCTAAAAATCAGTTTTTGAAAAGGTACGTTTCCGCGATCCTTTGGACTTATCGATCCACATGCAGAGATCCAGCGGCAGCACGTCCAAGCCACCGTCAAGCGCATATGCCGTGGACCTGCGCCGGGCGAGCAAGTTGGCCCGCATTTCGTACGACGAGCTCCTGGCTGGTATCCACACGGAGAATGCCACGCGAATGCAAGGGCTGTTCTTGGAGGTCGACGACAACGACGACAATAATAGCACCCTCGCGGACAAAAGGCTGGACGCGTTGCTGCTTACGTCCACGCATACCACAGCCTTTGGTGTCTCTTTTGGACTGCAAGAACTGGCTGGAAAGTCCATCCTCGAGCACAGTTTGTCCCAACTCCTTCTCGCAGGGATCGAGCGTGTCGTGGTGGCGGTCGCTGCCGGCAGCGACACCCAGTTGCATTTGAAGCAATCTTCGCTGTTTCTTCGCATGCACATTGTGTTCCTCGAAGTCGTCCCAACTGTACTCGAGTCAGTTCCTGAAACGGTGCTGGCGGCGCGGCATTTGTTTGCTAGCCCCTTTCTTATTCACGCGGCAGATCGCGTCGTCGACCAGGCGTTGATGAAAAAATTCGACGCTTTCCACCGAACCCACAACCGCGTGAGTCTCCTCGTCGAGTCTGACCGAGCAGTGTCGGCCCGCATGTCGCCTTCGACGGTATTGTGACACAAATCGAACGATCTCGTTCACCGGTCCAAAACATCTAGATGCGCATCAAGTTCACTACGTCGAGCGCTGGTTCGCCATCGAAGCTACAAGTCGGGCGCTACATCGCTGACTACAACGGCGTCGATATTGGGCTGTACATCGTGTCGCCCAAGGTTTTTATGGTCCTGGACAGCATTCTCCAGGGAGTTGGGACCTTGTCCCTTGCTGAAGCGCTCGCGTTTGGTTTCCAACGAGTCCACGCCATGGCGACTCAAGCAAACTCGACCGATCTCTGGTTTGGTGTTGACACCCAAGATCAAATGGTCCATTCCATCGAGCACGACCTGGTGCACCGTCTGTCGACTTTGCCACCGCCCACACCGGTTTCTACTGCGCCAATTCTAGTTAAGCGACGAGCTAGCGTCGTTTTGGCTGTCGAAGCTAAAGGAGAGTCGGCGCTGCCCCACACGAACATCGACATGCGGAGACCGTCGAGTCGACAGTCCGACACCATCGAACCGTTCCAAGGGTTCGTCGTGGATGTCCCACAGCTCCAACTGCCTCAAGCGACTCCCATCCCCCCCTACATGCAACCTTTGGTGACTCGAGATGCTGCAACCAGGCATTGCGTCATCGCCAACGAGATATCGATTGCTCGAGGCGGGTCGGCGGCTGGCGACGAGTACAGGGTGGCGATTCCCATTTCTGCCGAGTCGGCGCATCCAACCGCGCCGCTTTTGCGCCGTCTCAGCCCTCGCAAGAGCGCGTTCTTGGTACGCCAGGACAACGGGCCAAACCCATCGTTCCTGTTGGCTGTACCTGACGGTCTCAGCGATGACGACGACGGGACCAAGCTCCTTGCCAACCATCCAATTCGAAATACCCTCCGACGGCTGTCAGCATTGCCGTCTGACGTGAAGGAAGTGGCACTCGAAGCGGCGGTGGTCGGAGGCATGATCGACTTGCAATTGACCGTGCGTAAACAAGTGCCCCCCATCGGTTATGCCATCTTGAGTGGCGCGTTGTTGAGTGTTTCGTCCCAAGGTGCGGCACTGCAAGCGCTGGACACCGTGTCGCCACTCATCAAGATGGTGTGGAGGTACTTTGGGTCGTCCGTTCTGTTTGGAGGCCTCGCTTGGTTCAACTACATGGACAACGGCCTGCCGCCGGCGCTGTCGTGGACCACTGTTCGAGACACAATGCTGTGCTCAATTGCGTACGTCGTGTTCTCTGCGACGTTCATATGGGCTCTGGACCACACGTCAGTCGGCCATGCGTACATCTTTAGCAACAGCCACTCGATCCTGCTCGTTGTCGGCAAGTGCATGTTTGGACACCCCGTGGCAGCACTGGAAGCTGCTGGGGCTCTGCTTGGGATTGCAGGCGGCGTGATAACAAGTGTCGACCATGGAACCAAGACGTCAACAGCCAGTCCCACGACGCAGCATCCACCAACTCTGGAAGGGGATGTGGTCGCGTTTGTCGGTGCCATTGGCGGCGTGGCCTACTTGATATTGGCAAAGCGGCTCAAGGAGGTTCTTGGGGTGTGGCTCTTTTGTTTTGGCCTGTTTACCCTCACGTGGATCCTCTTGATACCATTGCTCTGGGCGATGCACGTGGACATGACGTGGAATGCAGACCCTGTCGTGGGGTTCCTTGGATGGACGCATCACGTTGGCACGGAAGTGTTGCTCGTTGTTGTTGTGAGTGCTTTCGGAACGATGGGGTTCATCACGTCCATGAAGTACTTCCCCCCGCTCGTCGTGTCTGTCACGATGTTACTGGAGCCGATTGTTGCGACCGTGGTGTGCATTGCGTTTGGGATGGCAACAACTCCTGGGTGGTGGACGTTTGTGGGTGGGTCCGCCGTTCTTCTCGGGACCCTTCTCGTCATCATTAGCACGTCTAGCACAACAGAAGTCTCCAACGTGTCGGACGCCATGGTCGTCCAAGCCCAAGATGTTGACGGCAGGTCCGCGCCATCGCTTCAACAGTATGGCACGTGCTCAAGTTGACATCGGCAAGTTTCTTTGCACGTCAGGTGTATTTCAGCCAATGAAATTCATTGAAATTCACTTCATCCAATCAAATTACAGTAAAATCGAACCAGCCAATGAGACGCACACCATGGTCCAAACCATTTGAATCGTTATTCCACATCTGACTTCCCTGCCGTTCCTCATGACCGCCGCCACCAAAGTTGCCGATGCCGCCCACAAGATCGTTGTCGCGGGGCTCTTGAGCGCCACTGCCTTTGGGCTGTATGATGTCACACGAGGTTTCACAGTGATGTACTCGCGAAACGCGGAGCGACAGCGCGCTTACGAAGCTCAACAAGCGCAAGCGGCTTCAGGACAGCAACCGACCTCGTCCGCATAGGACAACGACGCCGCCCGGCCTTCTTCCCAGAAGTTACTACTGTTTACCGTGAACGCAGTATCAAGCAAGGCATCCTCGTGCTTCAAGCGAAATAGAGTTGCGATGAGTGATATTGCGCGGCCTCGGGGTGCACATCTAGCGTTTGATATCTAACAGGAACTTCATTTTTTAAGCGTCAGCGTTCAACCCAAGCAGGATGCCGCCGCCGTTGCCGCTGGGCAAGTACGAAATGTTGCGGCTCTTGGACAGGTGCTCGGCGATTTCGCGGGCAGCGTCAATGCGTTGCACTTCGATAAAACCGCTGCCGCTCTTGGCAACGGCGTCGGAAATCAATTTGGCGGCGTCGGATTCACCTTCGGCCTTGATAATCGCAGCCTGTCGTTCTTGTTCCGCCTTCATCACGATGAACTTGGATCGTTCCGCGTCTTGGAACGCCACTTGCTTTTGCTCGACGGCGTTCGTGAATTCCGCGCCGTACGTCAAGTGCGTGATGGCCACGTCGTCAAGCAACAGGTGGAATTGCTTGGCGCGTTCGGCGAGTTCTTCCGAGATTTGGCGCGACACCTTTTCACGGGAAGTCAAAAGTTGGTCGGCGTTGTATTGCGCGACAACGCCCTTCAAGATTTCGTTCGTGATCGACGGCAACACTCGTTCGTTAAAGCTTGGGCCGAGTTCACTGTAGATCTTGGGCAAGAACAGTTCGTCCGGGCGGACCATGATACGCAGGCGAAGGTTGACGGTTTGCAAATCCTTGGTACCCGTGCTGCAGGGAATTTCGTGCGCAGCGGTGCGGATGTCCAAGATGCGTGGATCCTATACACAATCCGCGTGTGACGAATGCGTTCCAACCGGGTGACTCGCAACTAGAAATTTCAGTGCAACACTTACTTCGACGTAAGGGATGATAAAGTGCGTGCCTTCCCCCTTGATGTCGTCACGAAGACCCTTTCGACGATCGAAGATTACAGCGCGCTGGCCGCCGTCAACTGCACGCGAGATACATGAGAATCGTGGCGCCAAGGCCCTCCGAGGACGTACCATCGACAAGGCAGTTTTGCGCAACGAACCCCCCGACACCAACAACGCCGGCAAGCTTGGCAATTCCATTCAACGCACGGGCAGCAGCGGCGGCCATGTCGGTCAACTGTTTCAAGAATGTCAACCGAGGCCAGCCACCAGTAAAATGTTGGGGAAAACGCCGGACCGTCCGGATAATATCCGGACCACCCTGCGACTGGTCCCAAGGTTGAGTTCTAGAACGCTCGGCGGGTCGCGCTACCGTCGCGACGGCCGCATGAATGCACCGCTGACGATTCAAAGGGACTTGTAGCGTTCATCGCCGTCTTTCCGGCTGTCCACTGCATGCATGACACGTACACGCGTTGTCATGGACTCATTCAGGAGATGTCCAAAGGTTTTGGGTTCACACAGTTGGAGCTGCAACAGGGATCAAAACGGACGACGTCCAGTGTATTCGACGGCGCACAGCTTGCAAATGACGGAGAGGAGGAAGAGCTGCATCCGACGAGGGAAATCTCGGAACGAATGCAAGCGCAGCATGATGGCGAGTCCTACTACTAATACCGCGCCGCCGCCGATTGCACCCCGTCCTTGATCTGGTCGACGATAAACACGACACGATGCTGAATGAAACCACCCTGCGATCGTGCTCTCAACTAGGATGCCAATACCTTCACGTGGCAAGACAAATCATCGCATGACGTCTGGTGGAACGGATGGTAAAGTGTATTCCGTCGTGCGATGGGATCTTTTGCGCGGGTTGGCCCTTGGAATATATCTTCGGTCCATACACCTCCCCTTCTTAGGGTCGGCATCACTTGCGTGCATAACACAGCATTCCTCGGGGCAGTGGATGCGCATCGTTATAATCCCGACCATCGTGTTAACGAGATGCAGTTGTGCGTGTAAGTTTTCATCCGTCCGCGCCATCAGTCGAAACGCACGCCAGCATTTTCCACGGTGGACGGGGGAATGCTAGTGCAGGACGTCGAGGAAGGACGACGCGGCGGCTCCACCACGGGGGCTCATGAGTGGCGACGACACGGCCGACCACGGCGGAGGACCATACCCTTGCAAGTACATGGACGTAGTGTTGAGAAGCACTTGAAACTTGCGGCGATCTTTGACGCCGAGCATTGACTGGGTCAGCAAGTGGGCGTCGGCTGCCGTCATTTGCTGCTGGAACAATTGCCTTTGAACGAGGACTTGCTGCAGCGCGGCACCGAAAGCATCTACTTCCCACTGTGATCATTCCTTCATGCACGCGTGCAAAGCCCAACGTCGAATGGTGGGCAACGTCACACAAGGCCAACGAGGTGGTGTCATACCTCGCAAGGAGCTGTCAGCTTGCCCGGCGTGAAGGGCTTGGTGAAAAACGTTCGAGACACACCGAGTCTTGGTTGAAATCGTGCTAATGGCCACAAACACCAAGAGGGATTCCACCCACGCGTACGCAATGCGGTGCAGCAAGGCCTCGACAGGGCCATCGTGGTCCATGGCAAGGAGATCGCTGAAAAATCCGCAAACGGCGTCCGTCACGTCGGGGAGTTTGTGGTCCACCGCCACGACGTCGCAGCAAAAGTGAAGGATATCGAGGAGGAGAGTTGAGTCGCCGCCTCGGCACAGCAACGTCGGCGCACTTCGCAAGACTTGGCGCAAGAGCAAAAAGAACTGCGTGGCTTCGAGAGCTAAGTCTTCCGTCGGGTGCTGGAAGCGATCGAGCAGGGCTGCGCGCGTCGAGGCCGCGTTCGGGATGTAGTTGAATTTGCCACAAAACGACTTGAATGCCACGATGAGGTAGTCAAGGACTTGAGGGTGCAACGTCGGCTGAGACGACGCCAACAAGCTCAAGCACGACAGCGCGTGGGGTGCCGCGTACTGGTCGTGCCATCCGAGACTCAAGTGAGCAATCGCAACTAAAGTTTCAACGTTCGCAGTCGACGGAATCACAGACACAAACATCTCGACAGCGTTGTCGCGAACTTTGGGGTGGCTGCCGTGGTAGGCCGCGATCGCTGCAATCAACGGCCACTCTTGGGACAGGAAGGCATCACGGATGGACAGGTTCTGAATCCCCCGGAGGCCACGTGCCAGCAAGTACATGACGCACGCAACGTCGTGGGGAGCAGTGGACGGACCACCCATCGCTTGGAGCGATGAAACGAGTCGAGGAAACGCATGGTTTACCAAAAGCACGTAATCTACGTGCATTGAAAATCAACGTGGCCACAGCAAACTTGCTGGACGAGACGTACCCGAGTCTGGAAAGTTGTGTCCGAAGCGCAGCAGCGCTTCGAGAAAGTCGCCGTATGCCGTTTCCTGGGACTGGAGGATGTGATGCACTGAGTCCTGGTTGATTGTGGCCAAGAGGAGCTGAATGCAGTCGCCTCGGACGGCCAAGCCGACTTTGCGCTTCCTGTAGTTTTGGTTGCCACGATGAAAATCGAGACTTCACACATGAAATGTACGTGAGTACGTACACGAGAGTAGTGCTCAATCTCAGGAGGGCTTTGGCACTACTCGGACAGACGGCGGGGTAGTGCAGACCCTTGGCAAGCACGGTGGCCATCGTGACGTACGACGTGGCGGCGAACTGTATTGGAAGCACCAGCGAGCTAATGAGTCTTCGGTGGACACGAAAACACATAAATGGTATGTAAGGTGAAAGAATTCACTATCAAGCTGTCGTACCTCGCCGTGCCGTGCAACAAGAGGACGTGGTCTGGAATCCGACCGAATTCATGGACGGCGCTCTGCCACACCTCGAGAACCGCCGTGTACATGGGATCCGATGGTTCGAGATCGTCCAAGTCGAAGAGTTCCACCATGTAGTCGAGGACAAACAGGAGCGCGTCCAGCTCCTGGATGTTGGATGCAGCCTGGAGCATTTGTACCACGTGGGTAAGGCACACGAACGATCCTGGTCGAGTTAAATTGTCGGACGGCCAGTTGGAAAAGAGACTCAGGAGAGCATCGCCGATGTCCCTACACCAAATCCAACTCAAATTGGCTCCCCAAGAAAAGCACCACGGCATTCGATCGCGACGTGTGCAACATCGGCCTACCTGCGCAAGTCCCGAACGTCGTCAACGTCGGGATGGTCGGATTGGAGCTTGTTGGTTTGTATATAATGCGCTGGAAACTGGCACCGACGCAGGAGGAGCCCGACGACTTCTTGGATCGTCGGGAGCGCTGCATTGACAAAGTCAGCCCAGGCTTCACTCGTAAACCCGCCAACCACGTCCTTCCACCGCCGGTGCATGTCCAGAACGGTGTACCAGAATTCCAAGGTCGGTTCGACAACCGACGGCACTGGAAACGAAGTGCATGAAACGAGGTATTGCAAAAATTCCTACGAATGAAAGTTCAAGTGTGGGTCGTTCCCCAAAGGTATACCAAGCCAAACGCATCGCTGCACCCCTCGGCTCGGCGGACTTCGCGGCACCATCCGTCGGCAAACAAGCAGTGCGAGTCACCGCATGCGACTGTCGTGGCAATTTTGGACAAATTTCGAGCCACGACGACTTGTGAATCGTCTGGGTCGTCGATGGTCGACCACGATGCCAATAACGATGTCAAGTTGGAACGTGTGGACAAGATTTGTTTGGCCAGTCGCACGACGAGCACCGCTTCGGATCGCGCCCCTTCAACCGATGCGCTGTTAAACATAGCTTTAAGACCTTCACAAGAATGAAATAAATGCGAGTACGTTGACGAGGAACGGGACGTGGCATGGGCAAAGGCATCGCAAATGATCTCAGTCGCCAACTACACGCCACACCTGAGCAATGGAACGACCTTGTCGTCGTACCTGGGATAAGTCTGGTTTCTCCACCGACACAACATAGTCCATCAATGGGCCTATGAGCCCCCTACCCGCAATGCGTTGTCTTGAAGGCACAAGGGTCGTGGAAGCATGCATTTGTACCCGTCATGGAGGTCCAAGCAATGCAGGCCAAACTCCACGCACAAAAACGGCATGGTATCGCGGCCCCAATTTTGAAGAACGGTCAGCGCGAAGATGGCAGCGTCGGGTCTAGCCATGGGAGTTTGATATTCGTTGCCAAAGGTAGTTGATGATGGGGGATGGGCTTCTTACGCTGAACGCAGCGTTTCGAGTACGAGTTGCATCACGTGCTGCTTTTGCGACTGAAACTGATCGACCATCGCTTGTAAATGCGGCATCACGTCCAAGCCGTGCAGGGCCGCGGCACTGCAGGTCCCGTACACCTCACCGGGGATGCCAGCCAAGACTTCTAGCAGAAGCTGCAGTCCGACATTCGAATCGCCAGTATTGCCCACCAATGCCACCTGCAGTTGCTCTTTCCACGAGGACCAGCCTGACTTAATGTGTACAACAGCACTTGCGAGTCCGAGGCACACCAGGCGGTCTACAGGAGTGACATTGCTGGAACGTCGAACGCCGGAGGCCGTGGTGTGTTGGAGAAAGCACAAGAGACGGTCACGGACTTGAATTTGGTCTGGTTCTGTTAATAGGGGCACCGCGTGGCGGACAAGTTGTGCTGAAATGAACATGGCTGCTTCTGGAGTTGGGTTCGCGCCAATACCAACGGCTGTCGGTCGACACAAGACTTGCAACGCAACTTGCCACGCTGTTGGGAGCTGCTGGAAGAGCAGTAGCTGGTTGTGCGCAGCTTTCTGCTCCACGGAGCCAGCACTTCCATGTACGAGGAAGACTTGGCAGCACCGAATGAAGTCGTCTTCGCCGAGCAGCATCGCGGGCGGACAAAGCAAGTTGAAAACTGCCCGACATGAACCAAAACGGAAGATTGCTCTTGATATTCCTCGGATATTTCATCACCTCCATCATTCCAATAAGATTTTGAATTTAAATACCCTTCACGAATTGATTCTTATCTCCACCACAACCAAAACAATACTGTCACATTTTATATTCTGCCCGATCCACCACGATGGATGAGGTCGTGTCCATGCTGCGGGCGGACGGTACAATCGGTGCCTCGACTGCGCGTAGTTAACTGATTTCATGTCTCCCTAGACCAGCTGCGAGTCTTCTTGAAGCCTGACGGAGTGGACATTGCGGCGATCGCAAGCGATATCATTGCCCAAGACTCGACCAATTCGACAACGACGAGCGCGTCGGAGGACTTCAGTCACAAGCTCACGGTGGCAATGAAGCGGATCGACGAGTCGATTGAAGGATACATCAATGTTTCCCATACGGACTTGCTCGGGCAAGTGGGCTCTGTCGATGGGCTCAAGGCCAAAGTGACACGACTGCACACAGACGTTCACGACGTCCAAGCCGCGATCCAACGCATGGACAGCGACATCCACAAGGCCCACCAAAGGTTGCAGCGCACAGTCTACCAGCTCCGCAATGTTGACTTGTGCAGTTCCGTGTTACAGCGCGTCTTGCGCTTTCAAGCATTGCTCGCCAAGCTGCAGCAGGTGCAGCTCCCGCCTTTGCCGACCTCGGCTTCCAGTATTAACTCTGCAAACATATACTCGACCGCGTCGCTGGCCCTCCGCGAAGCCGAACTCCTCATCGCAGACGAACACGACGCCTTTCAATCCCTCGCCGTCGTCGCGCCGGGACTTCCCCTTCTGCGGACGTGGCGCACAGACCTGACCAAGCACATGAAGGCACTCCTTCGACTCGGGATGACCGGGATGGACCAAGTTGCGATCGGTAGCGCACTCCAGATCCTGTTTCAGCTTGGCCCGATGACATTGTCGGAGCATGTTCAAGGCGCCGTCAACGCGGTGCTGGAAGAAGTAGAAGCAAAGTGCACCCAAAGTTTGCAGGAGGCGTCGTTCGACGAGTCCAAGCTCAAGGCGGACGTGTGGGCCGCCCTGCAGACCGTTCTGAATACCTTGTCAGCATATGCCATGCAAGTGTGGAATCTCCAGCGCGTGCTGATCAAGTCGTCGACGGCAACGACGGCCGCTCCCTCTTCCCGGTCTCCCGCCACACCTTCGACGACGTATCTGTCGTTGGTCCTCGCGCCGGACGAACCGACTCTGTTTGCCACATTCTGGGACATCTCATGTGCCCTTGTGCGCGACCTGTTGAGCCAAACCCTCGAGTACAAGGCGTCCGTTGCTGCTGTCATCGTCGGGTACTACCCAAAACTCCGTGTCGAAGCGCAGGAAGTCGTTACGACTCTGCACACAACGTCCGCTCGGCTCAGTTTGGACTCCTTGATCGTGTGCGGGACCCTCGCTGAACGGGATCAATTGGTTGCCACCGCGCTGGCGCCGCTGCTTGAAGCGTACCAAAAGCGGTCGTTCCAACGCATGGCGAGTCCGATTCAACTCATGTTTCCGCAGTCATCCAACTACCATGCATCCCCGCCAAGCCGCAGCGACATGACGACTTTGCTCAAGATCATGGCACAGGAACTCGACGTCGCAGGCTCGGACGATGCGTTCCGATCGGCCATTCTCGTAGGCGTCAAGCAGAGCGTGGATCTGTTCTGCCGGAGTGTTCGCGGCATGGCACACCCGTCGCTACCACTTCCACCAACGGCCAAGCGAACGCCAGCGCAGGCCCACAACGTCGGACTGGTTGGCGTGTGTGTGCAGCTCGAGGAGGCCCTTCATGAGTGGCCGGAGCTTGATGCGGCCCGAGAGTCGATCCAAGCACTGGCACTGCGCCTACTGGGGCAATACCTGACTGAATTGGCGGTGAAACTTGAAGCAGTCCTTGCAAAGATGCACCACGAAACGTATGCAGACAGCATGGCCGCCGCTCCGCCAGCGTCCGCCATGGTCAGTTCTCGATTCATGGTTGAGTTCGCATCCGTTTTTCATGTCGTGGAAACCGAGCACTTGGCCCGACTGGGACTTGACCCCGACGTGTTGTGCCGTCGAACGTGTTTGAGTGAATTCAGCACCCGGTTGCTGTCGCACGCGACGCGGCAACTGGCGCTCGTCAGACCGCTCGGGGAAGTCGGCAAGTGCCGCCTCGCCAGCGACATGGCGCAGTTCGAGATGGTCCTGGCCAACTCGTTGGAGCTTTCCGGTCTTGCGCTCGAAGAGTTTAAAGCATTCCGGCACTTGCTCTTTGTAGACACGGCCAACGTGACGCGCGACGGTCGGTTGGACAAAGTCCGGCCGTCGAATGTGTGCCATCATCTGCTCAGCCGTGGACCCGCCGGGCTCCAAGCGCCTTGGCAAGCCAAGGGGTGGACGATCCCGGCGTACGTAGCATGGATGGAGACGCAGGCAGGGCTGACGCAGTACAGTCCGGTGGTCCTGCCGTCCGACATGCCGCTGGGCGTGGCCTGTTGGAAAGACCGCGCATTGGCCATGGCAGCAGAAGACTCGATTTGGAAAGAAATACTCGCGTGCTTGGACTCGTATGCCCAGCGCAGTAGCGCGCGCGGCAATCGCGACGTTGACTCGATTTACGAAGTCCTCATGGATGCCGGACCGTCGCTTCTCGCTGGGTATGAGGTGGCGACGAAGGCATACCTGTATCCGCCTACCGCGCGCGTGGAATGATGGACGCATCACACAAATAAATGTCGTGTTAATTGCGTGCTGGTGCAAGATTTGGAAGCGGGTCATCACAGATCGGTAGAGATGGGCGTCGTGGTTTGGATCGAAGAGGAGACCACGTTGGCAGTGGAGCCACTAGATGTGTTGATGGTCGGACGCCTTTTCAGGCGGGTGTCGCACACCACTCGGAGCGATTCGCGTGCTCGGGCACTCCATTGCAACGCTTCCGTTTCTGCGTCAAGGAGATTCCGTGCCTCTTCGTCGCTTTCAAGTTGGAGCAGGCGGAGTTCCTCCAGTTGGTCCGCTTCCGTCTTGTCCAGGCCCGGAAGCGAATCGATCACTTCGTTCGTGCGCTTGGCGCTCAGGAGCAGATCCTTGGCCAGCCCCTTTATTCGTTCCAGTTGCTCCGCAACAACTTCTGCATTCGACTCGTCCTTTGCATCGAGCGGTGGAAGCAGGCGAAGGGCGTTGAACATGTCGAGCGTCATTTGGTCCACGCATTGCTGCAGCAACGTGACCTTGTCCATACCGGCGTTCTCTCGGACGGCTGGAGAATCGCGTCGGATTATCCGGAAACTCAATATTCGGAACCTCAATTGGCGTCGGGCCAAAGCAAAAGCGTAGCAGGGACGGCGGCTCCGACATGTCCCTGCCCAGAGGAGAGTCATTTCAAGCGGAATGCAGCAATGCGTGCGAAGGAGATCAATGGGATGTGGAGAGGAACGTATGCAGTGCACATCAAACGACCGCCATGGTTTCAACGTGGCTTGTTTGCAGGGTTCGCGAAAGACGGGCCTCCTCCTTGTCGAAGTCGATGTATGGGGGCACTGTGGTTACGCAGGCGAAGTCTTCCTGCAATTTCCAGTCGCCAAACGCCCGTGCGCTGAACCATTCACCAGAACTGGGGTCCCCAAAGCGAGGCACTCGATGTAACTTGCAAACAACGTGCTCCATACAGCCACACAAGGGTAAACTAGTACATGAACAACCCAACACGCAACCAGTCGACATGACTAGACAAACCGATGCTATCGGACACGAAGGGAATGCTCCGCACACGTCCGTGACGATGGTTGCATCTTGTGTGCGTTTTGCCTCCAGGCCAGCCAGCGTCATCGCCGAGTGCGTTCAGCTGATCAACTCAACAGCCCAGTGTCCGTCGCATAAAGACATTGAGTATTGTTTGCGATTGTGGTGGGGAGAGGAGTTGTGCCAGCACAACGAAGCTTTCGGGACGACACACACTAGGAAGTAGTACGCCAGAGCCAGATGGCAGTGATGCTCTGGTGGCGGTGCCTGCGATGGCGGCGAAGTCCGTTATGGTCTTGGCACGTGGTGCCAACGGGACAGTGGCGGTCGCTGGTGAGCTCAGGGATGTGCCAAAGGAAGTATTGTGATACGCAGGCTTGTCCAGCAACACAATGGCACGTATTTGTTTCGTGGCGCATCGGCGGTCAGGGCGTCCATGCCCGTTTAAAATGTCTCTACGGCCCTAGCTCGTCGCAGCTGACGTGCGATTTCCTGCTGCTCGAGTTACGTCAGTGTTTCAGGGGCGTAGAGCCAAGGCGGTTGTTTGGACCCGTCTTACGCACGGTCTGCTTTGTTTTTAACATCCGCGCCACGCATAATTGACGTGTCGGTGATCGCCAGGACGCTCCACGCAACCCGTGTGCATTGGAGCCGCCCTGGAACGCAGTCCATACAACCTACATCGCAACATGCACGCGTCATGCACGCATCGACCATGTGCAGTACGCGCGGTCCTCCCAACGCTCGAACGAAAGGGCACACCCCAACAAGACGACCCATTTCCCCGTCAACGTGGTGGGCTCGGAGAGAGGGGGATGCTCATGCAGTCCGTGCCAGAGATGTGTGCATAAAGTCCAATGGCAAATGGAGATGGACGGGGCGACTTGTTGTCTCGAGTCGGCCAGATGACGTGGAGCGTCTGACGGCTGCGTGGGACACGTACGGCATGTCATGTGTCCATAACCATCCGATTCGAACCCATGCGTGTCGCATTGTCGCTAAAGGCGCGCCAGGTCGCGTCCTCAGCGGCACGACCGCCTCCACTGTCGCGTTGGTACCACGCAGTGGAGGTAGGGCGCTCGACGCACTGGGGCTACGAAATCATGCGCCCGGGCAACTTCCAGTCAGCTCGACCACGCAACAGAGCCTAGGTCGGTCCACCACCGCGGTTATTACTTGTAGCCGTCTCTGCATCTTGTCGCCCCAACGGTAAAGGTCCGTCGCCGCCATCTCTCCAGCTGTTCAAGACACTCTCCTGTCCAAAAGCGCGACGCGCCGGCAGGGCAGGTACTTTGCGTTTGACGTCTTCGTGGCACTTGATGCACTTGCGACGATCGACGTGGTCGGCGACACAAAAGCAACAGGTCCGAGACACTGCAGGCCAAGCACTTCGGCAGTTCATCCTCGATGCGCAGCTCGTCGACGGGCCCATCGACTGGACTTTGGACGACACGGTCAAGGACAGCCACGTCCAGCTGTACACAGGCAAGACGTCGTGCAATGCCGTGGTGTTCGCCTGCGCACGGCGCATCCGAGGCACGCTGGCGCAGGCGGCGTCGATTTGCCAAGTGTTTCCGACAACGCACCACTTTGACGCGTTGGAGTCCGTGGCGGTCGCGTCGCTCGATGGCGAGTCGTCGCACCACCACGTTGGCGTGACGTGGATGTCGATGAAAGTGGCCTCGACCGCAACTGCACAACACCGCGACGCGTGTGTCTTGGAGGTGCGGGACATGTTTGCGTTGTCGAAAACTGGTGCCAAGGGGTTCGCGTCGCTTCTGCAGTCGATCGACCTGCCCGAGTGCCCGCCGATGGACGCGTACCAAGGCCTCGTCCGCATGCACATCCAACACACCGGCTACACGTTCACGGAAATCTCGCCAGGCGTGCTCAACGTTGTATGCTGCATTCACGTCGACTTCCGCGGGACATTGCCGTCCATGGTCGCGCGGAGGTTCATGAAGAAGCGGGTGCTGACCATGTCGGCCCAGCTCAACATGTACTTTAAGCTCATGCAAGCTGCAACGTCGTCCGCCGCGACCCTCCACAACGTTGTGTCGACCAAGCAATGCGCAAGTTGCTTCCGCCCATTCAAAACGTTCGAGTCGAAGCGATCGTGTGCCACGTGCTACGACCGCGTGTGCAAGGCGTGCCTCACGACTGGATTCGTCGCAGAGTACAACAAAGAGCTCCCCGTGTGCGTTCGATGTGTGTTGAAGGATGCCGCCGCAACCCACGACGGCAAATCCTCGTCCGACGCGCCAAGGTCTTCCCAAGACAGTGTGTCGTCGACACGGTCGACAACGCATCACCCGCCTCGGTCGATCGTGTCCAGGGTGGCGCCGCAGACGTACAAAATCTTGCAGCTCGACGATGACGACGATGACGATGACGTCGACATGATGGAGCCCAGGGACACCCAGTCGTTCATCATCCTCGACGACGAGCCGGACAAGCCCGAACTCGACACGGTCCTCGACCACCGGCACAAACTCATTCGACTCGACGGGT